AGCTCTTCTCGCAAACAATTATGGGATTTTCTGTCACAGCGGCCCACTACGACTAATTACAAAGATGGCTAAGGCACCGCTCTGTGGAGGAGGAGTTACGTGACCAATGGGGAGCAAAAAGCAGTGATCATCTGTCTGAACGGTCAGTTAACTGAGTTTACTATTAAGTCCACTATATAGTCCCTGCTCTATATAGTGATTGAGGGATTTAGGGGTTAGGGCGGACGTTCGGGCACAGTAAGCTTGTACAAGCTATGAGAACTGCAACTTTTAAACAGAGCTTGCACGAGGAGAAATGGGCTTGTGCATGCTCTTGCACACGTTTAACAGGCGTTCTCTCTCGGGAGCGGGTACAGGGTTGTGCGTGTGCAAGTGGAGAGGGTGGGTCTTTATAAAAATTCGCGAAAATTCTCCACAATACCTTTAAGTCAGTCTGACTATAATTATTTTTCTATATCTTCTTCCCTATTCATCAAGTTTAGATGTGATTATAAGGGAGTTGCATAGAGGAGCTCCTGTTTTATAAATACAGGTTTATAGTATTATTTAATTTTGTTGTTTTTTTTCCTGATTCCTTGCCATCAAGCATATTTATGTTGTTGTTTTTATTTGAGATAGAAAGAATAAAATGCCAAAGAATTAAATGTTCATGTTAAAAGATTGTGTAAAATAAATTTTATTTTACATAAAATAAAAATTATTTATTTTATTTATTTATTTTTGCTTGTGTTCCCAAAGGGGTACACAAGTCAAAAATGGTTGGGAAACACAGGTTTAGATGACGGGCCCGCTGCAGGATAAACTTAAAGTCGTAGGGACATCATATTCAAATGTCAAATCATTCTGGCTTAAACATGTATATAAATGTTCTATTTATAAGACGATATTGTCCCAAAAGTTAGAAAATTTGTATTTAAAAATTTTTTTTTTTTCTTAAAATCTGTGTATTTTTTCTTAAGTTACGTATATCATGTGGGCCAGTTAGTTGTATGTCAGCTTGTACACCTAAATTCAGCCAATCATATATCAGCGGTCATCTTTCAATCAAATCTTTTCCGTCATAGCATCTTGATTCATATGTTGCAGCTAATATACCCAACGGTTGAAATAAGAATCATTACTTTACCATTGAGTTACGTCCCAGTTTTCACGGGGATGGACGTCTGTGTCTAAGGCAAGCGTAGAGCTAACGGACACAACAATGCCGCCCTCTTGATAAACAACCAACCACATTCACTTTATTCACTCGTAAAGTCGCGCACCACTCTGCAGAATTCGGAAACGCAACGGTTGGAACAGCCGCTTCCCTACGACTTTAAACAAGACGAGAAGAGATTGAGGTACTGGAGGAGTAGACGTCACTGATGGCTCTGTACATTGTGGCTGTTGACCAATTTAGAGATGAAGTCTACCTTGGACACTGTCAAGTGCCCTGCATGCTGAAGTCAGGGAGTTTTCATCATGCTGCTGGTTCTTCCTTAGCCATTAAAATCTCAGGGGGAATTAAAGTTCACTCATAAGATATGAGCTTTGTTACACATTCAGATTTATGTTTAGGCCCGATGAAGACGGGCCAAAAGTGCTGCCTGTTATCAGGACTTTTGGAGTGGAGACTCAAAGTTGAGGCTGTTTTATCTGTTGGTGTTGAAAAATGAATTGGTCTGTACTAAAACTTGGCAGTCGTTGTACAAACCGTTTAATTCCTTAATGACGTTTACTCAGCAGCGATCTGGACAGTTTTGTAGCAGACTGCTCTCCCTAGTGTTTGGTTAGCCGTTGACTGTCTGCCTGTGTGGGCATGTGAAATAAACTCTGGCCGTGCTTCTTTCTTCTGGCTGATTATTTTTCCTTCTTCCTTATCAAAAGCTGCCGTTACTGGTTTGACATATCAACTTGTTTCTGGACTGGGACCAGAAAAACACACAGTAGATCCCTTATTTTTTTTCTTCTTTTTGTGAGTCAGCAGGAATGTGAGGAATGACCTGCACTTTTCCCACCCAGCTTTCATTTGCCCATTTTTAGGCATACCCAAGTGCTTCCTCCCATTTTTTCATTTTTTGTTTAGTTTTTTCCACATTGTCATCCTAATGGCTGCTATTCTTAGTTTTCTTCTATCTTCTACTTCAGTCATCTTTTTTTGTGGACTCAGCACTTTAAATTTCCACAAATTATAGTATTGTAGGAAGGCCTCTCTAAACCAGTGCATATTTTGTCAAACCACAGCGAGACCTCAAAACTGCTGGCCTTCTTCGTCTCTGATGAGACGACCCTCTTCCTCTGTCTCTGGGCTCTGGCTGAAGGGTATGCCTGCTCTCATTTCAGCACATAAAGCTTGTCGAGCTGAGCTTGGCAACCACAGTGAGCTCCTGTTAGTATCTCTTGGCAAACAAAGATTTCTGTCCAAACTTGGTTCATTGTCTAAGCATGGGTTTTAGAAGACCAACCTGCGTAGGAGCTCCTCGGCCCTGCATGTGCCAAGAGGTTCCCACCAGTGACTGTCTCCTGTATGACAGGAGGGGGCTCCCTCTTCCCTCCAGATCTCTGCTCCCTTGATGAGACAAAAGCTTGTTCAGGGGGTTGGATCTGCCTGCAGGTGTGCTTGTATACACTAAATTACCCTTCTTCGGTCTGAAAAAAGCAGACCTTTTAACTAAAGCTCACTCAGGGTGATGAAATGGTACTTAGAGAGTCGCACAGCTGACTCTGTGGGGGCTCCTGCAGCCTGGCTAAAGAGGAAAACACCTGAAGGACTGGTCGACCTGCTGATCTGAACACATTCATTTCCTAAAGCTGAGCAACAGCTGTCGGCGGGTCTTTTTCTCATCCTTCCCCACGTCGACTTATCTCGTCTCATTAGTGAAGTCGGATCTCTTATCAGCCGTCCATAAAGCCTCCATCTGCTCCGCTGACCCTCTAACTAACCGTCACAGATCAGAAACAAGCCTAGGTTCACTCAGGATGTCACACGTGTCCTTGATCCTAGAATTTTCCTGTTTAAAACTCTTAGCACTGACTTTAAAAGCTCTATACTTGTATGAAATTAGAATGACAGACAGGCTCCCTGTAAAATCTTATAGGGAAAGGCTCAAAGAGCACATTGCCGTTCACTCTGCATGGTATTTCATTTTCCAACCTGCATCACGCTATAAACTGTCATTCGTAACTTACACTGCTGAGCAAAAGTATTTATACCCCTTGTACTTTGACACATTTTGTCATGCTTCAGTCTTTAAGGGAAAAACCAGCCAAAGTAGCGGTTAAGTGTGAAGTGGAAGAAAAATTGTTGGCTTAATGTTTTACAAACTGAAAAAATGTATCCAGCCTCCTTTTCTCTCCTTTTAAAATAAAAGTGCAACCAGCTTCCTTTAGAAATAAGCCATTTTTTTCTCCCATGTGTTTGTAATTTATTGTCTGATTAATATCGGCTGTTCTGTAAAAGCCGAGGAGGTTTGCTGGAGCGCTTTAGTGAACAAACTGCATCATGTAGAAAAGCGAACGCTTCGGACAGGTCAGGAGGAAAAGGTGTGGAGGAGTTTGAAGCAGGTTTAAGCTTCAGAAATGTTTCCCAAGCATTAAACTGTTAAATCGTCTGAATAGAAAAAAGATATATAGAAAAACCACAAAGCATACCAAGACTTTACTGTCTACAGGCAAGGAAGAGAACAGAAAAAGTTATGGTCCATGGTTCCTATGGAGGAGCAACGCAGTTGCTTGGTTCTGTTGGATGGAAACTTATGTGATCTCCAAACCTGGACATTATAAAACATTGATAAGAGGATGTTCAAAAAAGTTTAATAAGCCAGATTTGGAGTTTGCAATCAGGTTTTCAAAGTGCTCAGTCCTGCATGCCAAAAAAAAAAAAAAGGAAAACTAATGGTGCATATTGTCTGAGTGCAGCATCCCCATGGTGAAACATGATAAACTCGTGATACTCTGGGTTTGCTTTTCTTCTGCAGAGCCAGAGAAGGCTGGTTGGAAAGATGAACTTAGACTGAGCTTAAAACAGGGCAGGATAATTAGGGGGAGGTACTGCTCGATGATATAACTTAGAAATAAAATATCCGGCTTTTTGGAAACCAAATTCAAATAAGGGATTTATTTAATTAATTTTGGTTTAATCAGAACAAATTAAAAATTACAAGAATTGCTTTAAAATGTTTGTTTTATTTCATTCATATCCTCTGGGAGTTCGCCTGAATTCAAAGTGCAGGTAAATATAAGCTGGAAAAAATGCTTGTAAAACTAACTGGCAGGCCTGGTCACTGTAAATAACACGGGTATAACACTGAAGTGTTTGAAAGTAGTGGTATACACAGTGAGCTAGTTATGAATACACATCTTAAAAAGAAAAACGCCTGACTGACTGAACCTTTTTAAATACATGCTAATTAGTGTTGGTCTGTAATAGGGCTGCAACTAATGATTCCTTTGCAAATCGATTAATCAGTCAATTATTTTTTTCAATGAATCGATTAATTATCGGATAGCCAAAGGTTCCTTAAAGAAGATTTTTTACGAATTTAAACCAAGGGAAACTAAAACTTTTCCATTTGAGGAGCTCTTTGTAGAGCATATTGACAGACGAAAATTTTTTTTATCTTAAATGCAAAATGTAAATATATATATTTTTTTTACAATATTGGTATAATTGCTGCTGTTGTTTTACAGGCTCTAAACTCTAGTTAATAGTTAATCGATTAAGAAATGAGTTGACGATTATTTCAATAATGGATTAATCACGATTATACTGATTAATTTCTCCAGCCCTGGTATGTAACATAATATTTCACAGAATGTACAGCCATTTGTCTCTGTAAGCTGCGAAACAGTTCTGAGCTAATAATGTATGCTTCTATATGTCTGTCAAAGACTCTTCGGTAAACCATGCAAATATACAGTAAAAGAGAAAAGTCGTCTGTCTTTGCAAGGCAAATTTTCCCCATCTGAGTTAGTACTCTGTTGCTCTTCTATCTGTTGATATCCACGTCTTCTCGTTACAGCTGGATGGAACCGTGGATCTGGACGAGAGGCGCCTCATCCGTTCAGCCATTCGGGACCTAAGGAGGAGAGAGATTGAGGACATGGAGGCCGCTTTGGCGAGCAAAAGATTCAGACCGACGCGCCTGAATCAGCATGAGGACAAGGAGAACCAGCACAGGTAAGGAGGCGCACACACCCAATGATCCCAGAGACAAAGGCCATTTCACCCAGGTGAAAGTGAAGATCACAAATCCAGATGTGGCATTCCTCAGCCACAAGGGGAAAAAGTACCAAGGGACGGAGAACTCCAGATGCAGTAAATTTTTCCAGTTTCCAGTAAGCTCCCAGTAGTTTGTCTTCTTCATATTAGTTCCCCTATTTAACAGTTCAAATGATTTTCTTTTTTACTACTATCTCAGTATTTCTCCAGCTGAAAAAAGATCCCAACAGTCGTTATGCAGCAGAGGAATGCAGATTAACCGATATTTTTGCTCTAGCACTGCTCTACCCCTTTCTTCTTCCATTAACGTGTTTCTGCTCGGAAAATCTGACACCAAACAGGACAAATGGGGCAGAAAATTTCCATCAGGATTGTTTTTGCACCTCTACTATGGATTTTTCAGACTAATAGAGTAAAATGATTTTAAGCTTTCACCACTGACCACGTTTTTTTTTAAATCTCTTCTTCCATGTCAAACGCTGTCTCTTTGTTTACATTGGTTAGCAGGACTATATTTAATATTCTAAAAAAAACAAAACCGAAGTGAGCTGCAAGAATAAATAATGAAGTCAGTTGTAAATAGTGCATATTTTAATCAGTTGTTTGTTTGTTTGTTTGTTTTTTCCTCAATATGTTTTCTGCGGTCAGTTACCCCAATAATCCTCTTGATTATTTAATGTACAGTGTTTTTTTTGCAGCATAAAAAAAGTAAATGGACAAAGATGAATTGTTCCATCACAAAATGTGACATTGTATTCTGCGCAATTTAAACTGATCTACATTTGTAAGAAGTAAACGCAAACAAAAAATGTACGCAAAAAACCCCAAACAAACAGTACCTTAACGGTTCTAGTCACTCTTCTTTGGTCAAATTAAATGCTAAATTTTGTTTTCGCGATTCCAGATCTTAAATATTCCTCTCTTGAAGTCGTCTTCTAGGACTTATTGTGATGCTGGAACACAGAACCACTATTCAGATTTCCAGCAGACATCTGAAGGTTTAATCTCACAATTTTAGCAATCTTTACAATTACTTCAGTTGATGCATGACTTCTCCACCACCGTGCTTTACTGTTGTCATGATGTTCTTTTTTTATTTATTAAATGAAAATGTTAATCTATGCTTGGAGGTTTTCTTTGGTAGAAAATGCTTTTGTCTCTTCATCCCAAACAATGCAGCTCCTTCAGTCTTGGCTGTCTCCATGATCACTTTCATTCTGGTCTTTCCATTAACTTTGAAGAATGTTAATGGAAGTGTTGCATGGTCAGTGTTATTCCTCATTGTTCCCAGTTACCACTCGCTCTATCACTGACCCATTTGATGCTCTAGAACGAAAGTTACTACCGTAACTACGGTTCTATGAATCCCGGATGACCGCCAGAGGCGGTGCTTCAAGCACTGAATGATCATTCTTGCGCATGCGCAGGTCGAGTATTAATGACAACAAAGTCAGCTGTGACCTGCCGGGGACCCACGTGACTCTATATAGTCACGTGGCACCCGGCAATCAATCCCTCAATCTTCTCGCGAAAGCAGAGATTCCGAGGGACCAAGCACTCTGGCGGTCATCCGGGATTCATAGAACCGTAGTTACGGTAGTAACTTTCGTTCTATTTCATCCCTACTGACCGCCAGAGGCGGTGCTTCAAGCACTGGATGACTCATATCAACAAGGTCACGAGGAATCAGCAACATTCAAGGAACAACGACTACACCACCCACCTAATGTGATGTAGAGGCATGCTGCTCGAGGATTCCCTGAAGCGGATGGGGCGCAGCCACATTCACCCTGTAGAACCGAGTAAAGGTACTAGGTGACTTCCAGGAGGCCGCACGACATATAACATCCAATGGCACCCCAGTCATAGCAGCAAACGATGTCGACATGCCCCTTGTAGAGTGGCATTTCACTCCCGCCGGCAGTGGCCGGTCCTGCAAGGCATAAGCCTTGGAGATCAAATCCACAACCCAGTGTGCAAGTCGCTGCTTAGAAAGTGCCTGACCTTTCCGTGAGCCAGCGTAGCAAACAAAAAGGCTATTTGTCTTTCGGAAGGATGCCGTGGCATTGATGTATGTCTCAAGGGCACGGACAGGACACAGTGGTTCAGAGGGACTTCCGGAGTCAAACCGGGCAAGATGGAGAGGCTGGGTGCTGCCTGCTGGCAGTGATACCTTAGGAATAAATGCTACATCAGCCCACAGTGTAACGCCTGAGCCATCAGGATTCCACCGGCAGCAGGGTTCGGCTATCGAGAGAGCCTGTAACTCCCCTACACGTTTTGCGGAAACCATAGCTAAAAGGAACGCAGTCTTCAGTGAGAGCCATTTGGGGTCCGCCGACGCCAGGGGCTCAAATGGGAGGGACCGAAGAGCCTCAAGCACAAGAGAAAGGTCCCACGCCGGTGCCACAGGGCGGTTGGGTGGGTGCAAACGCCGAGCACCTCTTAAAAACAGTACAACATCCTTGTCTCGGCCCACAGAACAACCATTCAGCCCAACATGCCAACAGGAAATGGCAGCCACATACACCTTTAAGGTAGATGGGGACCGTCCTTGATCCAGCAATGCCTGCAGGAAGGTCAGTATGTCAGAAACTGAGCACTGCACCGGGTCCTGCCCTCTATCACGGCACCAGGTCGCAAAGACCGTCCACTTGTTAGCATAGACAGCTCGCGTGGACGGCGCCCATGCATTAGCCATTGTATGCCCTATGGACCCAGTGTATCTTGAGAAGGTGGACCCCGGCCTTGCAGGGGCCAAATCCAGAGCTGGAGCCGGTCCGGTTCGGGGTGCAAGATCTGACCCCCCATCTGGGAAAGAAGGTCTCTCCTGGAGGGGAGACGCATTGGCGAGCCGGAGCTGAGCTCGCACAGTAGAGGAAACCAAGTCCTCGCTGGCCAGTAGGGGGCCACCAGCAGGACCCTGTGCCCCTCCTGACGTACCCTGAGGAGAGTCTGAAAAAGTAGGCTGAATGGCGGAAAGGCATAAAGGAGGGTCCTGGGCCAGTCGTGTGCCAGAGCATCGTGGCCCAGAGGGCTGCTGTTGTCCAACGAGAACCAAAGGGGACAGTGAAATGCGTCCCTTGAGGCAAAGAGGTCCACGTCCGCCCTGCCAAAGACCTTCCAGATGCACTCCACCACCTCTTGGTGAAGCTTCCACTCCCCTGGAAGCGGCTTCTGACGGGATAGAAAATCTGCTGGCACGTTCTCCGGCCCTGGGATGTAGGCTGCTCTGAGGCTGGCTATGCGTGGAGCTGCCCAGGTCAGAAGCCGTTGAGTCAAGCACAACAGTTTCCTTGACCTCCTGCCCCCCTGGTGGTTGATGTGAAAGACCACTGTGGTGTTGTCTGACCTCACCAGCACGTGCTTCCCCCGCAAGCCTGGAAGAAAGCTCTGAAGAGCCAGAAGCACAGCCTGTAACTCCAGGACATTGATGTGTTCCCTGCCCTGCCGCTGGGACCATGTCCCCTGTGCCATTTGACCCCGCCAGGTTGCACCCCAGCCCGTGGAGGATGCATCTGTAAACACAACTTCCCGACGACACGGGAGGGAACCGAGCGGGACCCCTGTGGTCATAAACAACCTCACCCTCCATTGGGACAGAGACTGAAGACACTGAGGCCCCACCCGAAGTCTTCGGAGACGATGAGTGTTCCGTGTGGGATCCAGATTCAAGCTGTTCAACCACATCTGGAGGGGCCGCAATGACAGCAGCCCCAAGGGCACTACGGCGGACGCAGCTGTAAGCATGCCCAAGAGTCGAAGATACCGCACAAGAGGCAGCGCCATGCCGCGCCTGAATTCCGGGAGCACGCTCAATATACTGTCCACCCGCTGGGGTGACGGGCAAGCAGTCATTGAGATGGAATCCATGGCAATGCCCAGGAAGACAGTCTCCTGTGAGGGGGTCAGACTGCTTTTCTCCATGTTCACCTGCAAGCCCAAGCATCCCACATGATGGAGCACTAACCGAGTATCTCGAACCGCCTGGTCCCACGTCGCGGCACAAATGAGCCAGTCGTCCAGATATGGGAGGATCCTCAATCCCTGTGCCTGCAGAGGAGAGAGGGCCGCTGCAACACATCGGGTGAACACCCTGGGGGACAGTGAAAGTCCGAACGGGAGGACCCTGAACTGGAAATGCCTCCCTTGAAAAGCAAAACGAAGAAACCGCCAATGGGGCGGAGCGATCGGAACGTGAAAATAAGCATCCCTGAGATCTATGGAAGTGAACCAATCGCCCGGGGAAATCGCCTGCAACACTTCCTTGGTGGTCAGCATATGAAAGGGCATGGCCTTCAAGTACACATTCAGGCCTCTGAGGTCCAAGACTGGACGCAGGCCCCCGGTCTTCTTCGGAACCAGAAAATACGTGGAATAAAAGCCCCCTGGATCCAGCAGGGGGTCCACAGGCACTATAGCACCCTTGGCCAGCAAGGTGCAGATTTCTTGGTTCAGTGCCTGTGCCTTCACCGGGTCGTGGATCACAGTCATCCTGACCCGGCCAGGGATAGGTGGCCGGCGGCGGAATTGAAGACGGTACCCCCGGGACAGGGTGGACAACACCCACAAGTCCGGGGTGTGGGCAGCCCAGAAGCTGAGCTGTCCCGGGGAAAAATAACCGACCGCCGGCCCTAAGGCATCATCTGCGGGTCCCCCGGCCCTTCGAAGGCCCGGGAGGACGCCGGCCAGACTGCGCGGCTCGAAAGGGATGAAAGGACCTCGTCCCAGCCTGGTCTCGAGCTCTGTTCCTCCGATCTAGAGCAGGTCCCCGGACCGATCTCTGACCTGGTAACAGACCCTGGGGCTCAGTGGGAGAAGGAGAAGGCACTAAGGACCTCCGTGAAGGACCCGCAGCTGCCCAGGTGCTTACTGGCTGGCGATCACGTCTGTGAAGCCCTGCCAGCTGTTGCCTCGTTCTAGAGGCCTGAGCCGTACGGTCCAAGGCGTCCAGTGCCGCTGAACCAAAAAGCTCCCCCGGGACCACAGGCAGGGCCCGGAGGGTCCTCCTACAAGGCTCAGTTAGTGGTGACTGCGCCAACCAGACCTGGCGGCGAGCATGAACCAGTGTGGAGAGTGTGCGTCCAAGTTCCCTCGTCATAAGAGCAAAGGCCTGCAGAGATGCATCAACCAGGCCTTGCGTGGCATGATCCAGCGGAACAGATTCCAAGGAGGAAGACAGGGCCAGCATAAGATGGGAGAGAGAGTTCCCAATCCGGCCCATGCGGGCCCCAGAGTCATAGGCCTTACAGAGAAGGTCGTCGGTAATACGGCACTGAGGACGCGGACAACGGGCATTGGGCCGCAAGGCCTCATCAGGCGGGATTATAAGAGAGGCAATGCCCGGTTCCACCGCTGGCATCTGCCCCAAGCCAACCTTGGGTGCCTCCTGCATAGCTGCCAGGACCCTGCCATCCGTCGTCAGACGTGAAAACGCCTTGGTGTCTGACCAGCAAGCATGCAGTTCCCGCACATACTCCGCCGAGGGAGGAACCACAAAGGCAGTCTCTGACCTACTGCGCCTAAAGAAGGCGCTGGAAGCCGCAGGCTGGGCCTGAGGAACACTAATCTGTAAACGGGCAAGAGCCGTTCGAATAGCGGATGTCACAGACTCCCCCGTATCCTCCTGGGAGGCAATGGAGTCCGACCCAGAGGCCCCGGAGCCCAGCTCCGGAAGGTCCTCACAGAAATGGGTGCCAGAGGCCGCCACAGAAACAGCATCGTCGTCATTGACTGACGTTTCATCCTGCTCGGTAGGGAGAGCCGTGCCGCGATCACCAGTAGTCTGAAAGGACTGGAGGAGGGCTTTCATTTGGGCCAGCTCAGTAGTGAGATGATCCACTCTGGTGGACAACCTCCCTGCATCGGTCCGTCTAGCACGCTTCGTTGGTACCGAAGGTGCAGCCACAGTAGATCGTTTGCACACCGCTTTCTCCATCGGCAAACGAGCACGCGGCGAAGCGCTCGCCCAGTCGGTAGGCTGCTCCAGTGCAGCCAACCGATCCAGTCTGACCGACCGGGGCATGACGCAACAGTTGGGGCAAGCGTCATCTGACAGCGCCTCCCGGAGATGTTCCACACCGAGGCAGGAGGGACACAAGTCATGCCCGTCATCCGGCTGAAGTGGAGCCAGACAGGTCGAGCAACATAAATTATCCAGCATCATACTGCTGAAAGGCGTGATCAGCCTGCTACCAAGGACAAGTCAACACGAGCAGGAAACGCTACTGGCGACTCGTTGTAGGAAAACCCCCGCAGAGATTCCAAACTCAGCGTGAGCAGAAACGCCACTAGCAAATCGATTATTAACTAAAGATGAACTCAGCACGAGCAGAGACGCCACTGGTGAGTTTAGGCAAACAAACTATAGAAGAACCCAACGCGAGCAGAAACGCTACTGGTGGGCTTAGGCAAACAAACTGAAAACAACTCAGCGCGAGCAGAAACGCCACTGGTGAGTGTAGATAAACAAACTATAGAAGAACCCAACGCGGGCAGAAACGCTACTGGTGGGCTTAGGCAAACAAACTGAAAACAACTCAGCGCGAGCAGAAACGCCACTGGTGAGTGTAGATAAACAAACTATAGAAGAACCCAACGCGAGCAGAAACGCTACTGGTGGGCTTAGGCAAACAAACTGAAAACAACTCAGCGCGAGCAGAAACGCTACCGTGAGTCAAAAGAGCCACAAAATTAACGTGGCAAATCAAAGCGAACAGTAAACTACTGCTGAGAAAAGAACGAAAACTTACCAGTCACCGCAGATCTGGTAAGGTGAAAGCAGCTTGTGCAGCCCCTGGAGGGCGAGACTTACCCGCAGCTCCGACCAAACCCGGTCACGGGGCTACCAGCAACAAGCAGCCAGGAAACTAGTGGTATACACAGAAGCAACCAGCTTCACACGACCACACTCCGGTACTCAACACACCTGCGCGCGAGAAGAACAAAAGGGATTGATTGCCGGGTGCCACGTGACTATATAGAGTCACGTGGGTCCCCGGCAGGTCACAGCTGACTTTGTTGTCATTAATACTCGACCTGCGCATGCGCAAGAATGATCATTCAGTGCTTGAAGCACCGCCTCTGGCGGTCAGTAGGGATGAAATAGAACTTCTTTTCTGTGCTTCTCTGGAGTTTTACCTTTGCTCAGTCAGATCTTTGCAACTTCTCTGCTAAACTATGTCTTGATCCCTGGATGTATATAAAGGGAAAGCTGAAAATCTAACTAGACCTGCTGAACTTTGTTCCAGGTTGGTAAAACTCAAAATAATTGATAGCTGGTATAAACTTACAGGATTCTGTAAAAGATCCTAACTTTGTCTAAAGTATCAAAAAAATTGTTTTTTAAACCAGTTTATTAACATCCTAAAACAGATCTGTTTGTTTTTTGGTTAAATTGAGCAGAATGAAAGACTTTGAATATTTCTGTATGCTTACTTCAAGCAATAGGAGATGTAAAGGTCCATCCTATGGGGTCAGATACAAACACAGCCTGAAATACTGCAGCCTCCTAGGAGTTCTTTGTGATAACCTACACTTTGATATTGTCTAGTTTGGATGGTTTAAAATGTTAAAATTAAAGTTTTTGTGTGTGTGTGAAGTCTTTAAATCCCAAGGGTTAAACTAAGATCAAGTCCATCTTATTGTCTCAGCCTGTGGGTTGGAGAAAATAAATGCTTTAACACCATTGAAGTCAGAAATAAACCTACCACTTTACTGTTTGTTTTCCCCTTTTCTGTCACTAAATCCTTTTAAGAACAGAGGTAATCATTCCCATTCACGTCTGCGCTCGCAGGACTCGGGTTACAAAAACAAAAGAAGTGCCACGGCTGAAGCTGCTGTAGAAATCAAACCTGCTGTCTTACATTCATGCATGTATGCACCTAAGAAAATCCATCTGAAAGTTATTCTCTCACACCTCTCATTTCTGGAATGTTAAATATTTCAACTTTACTATGCTGCGCATTATTTAATCACAGGGAATGTTGGGGAAAATGAGGATAATGAGGGAAGGGAAGGAGAGTGCAAGTAAGACAGACGGGAGAAGTCTGAGGCCAGCAGACTTCTCTGCACAGTCTGGGTCTGTGCTCTGATTATTTTTATTTAGAGCACCACCTTTTCCATGCTTTTAATTTCTGAGTTCATTTCTCAAGGCTGTAAAAAAATTATGTTCTTTTAATGCTTAGAGATAACATCTTTATGTCAATTTTCCCCAGATCAGAATCCAGTGACAACTTGAACATTCTTTCACAAAAGCTACAGTCCATCCAGGACGTTGATGAGCTGACGAAAATGGTGAATTTCAGAATTGTTTTTCTTTCAATGTGATCCCTGTACTTGCTTGTCCTGGAAACACTGAGTTTCTTTGTCCGTAGCTTCGTGCTGCAGCCGAGTATGAGGAGAGGAAGATGATCAGAGCAGCGATCCGACGAATCAGGGATGAGCAGCTGCAAGGTGAGCTTGGATGTGTCAGACTGAGGAACCCCCCAAAGAGTTTGTGTAATGAAGTTTATTTTGTAGCATGCCTTCGGTTGGAACGTACCAATGCACAGGATCCCTGCTCATTATGGGAAGGTCTGGAATTTGGGCCATTTCCAGGTTTGGAAAATATAGGGAAAATTGCAGCATGGAAAGTGTATTGCTTTTTTCTGTCTATTTTTTTTCTTTCTTTTTTTTTACTTTTATCCTATTTTAAGGATTTTTCTTGTGAATCCATACATCCATCTGTCCATCAACTTAAGTACTAATCCATCTGTCCTTCTGTCTATCAATTACTCCAATTTATTTTTTAAATGGACTGTCTATCTTTTCTCTATCCATATATCGAAAGTTACGTATGTAACTACGGTTCTATGAATCCCGGATGACCGCCAGAGCTTCTCTGTCACTCAGAATCCTTGCTTTTGCGAGAAGATTCTGTAGGAGCAGAGCAAAGGATGACACCAGGCTATATAGCTTCTGAGTGGTCATCCGGTGTCACAGGTGTGACTCTGTTGGTATAATTACTCGAACTGCGCATGCCCGAAGGGGACATTCGGTGCTTTCAGCACCGCCCTCTGGCGGTCAGTAGGGATGAAATAGAACCATCTGTCTGTAAGTTCCTCCATCAGATCATCCTTTCAATGCTTTGCAGTTAATACAAAATGCTGAGCAAGGTCTGGGAACTTTGGAAATTTTTAAACTTAAAAAATCTAGATTTTCTTTTTAAATGATAAAACATGTATATTAATTATGATGTTAAGAGTTCAAATGTTGGATCATAAGGAAAATATAGATGGTAGAATATTTTGCTAACAAGGATTCTAAAACAGGTCAAGGAATGACACAGTTTGACCTGAAGAGGGCGTTAAACTAAAGGTTAAATTGTTCATCCACCTCGGCTACTGTAGATGAAGCTCATCCAGGAAAAGTTACTATTGTGTTTAACAAGAACATGTGCAAGCGTGTCCACCGGTCATCATGTCTCTGCCACAGATCCACCTGTTGTATGAATCCTAGTTTGATAATAAACTCCTCTTTGCTTCATGCTGCCTGACTTTGCTCTGTCTTAATCCTTGGACAGACTTTGAAAATAAAGGAAAACATATCAGCTCCACCTTGTCAGGTCATGTCAGTGCTGCTGGAATGATCTCACCAGTATCGACGTCAGATTACATCCTTTTCTGTCTGTTTCTTTTGAAATGCTGTCTGAGTTTTACTGTTGTGTGTTTTTTAGTTTCTGTGGAAAAGAGTAAAGTTTCTGTCTGCCGCCTGGACAGCACGGAGTCCCAGTGCATCATGGGAGCTGCGGTGAGTACACAACTGCTAATGAAGCAATCAGGGCCTAATTGTGAAAGACATATGGTGGTGCAGTCTGAGGATAAGAGGCAAATCTGTTGTGTAAGATGTTCAGGATATAATATCAGACTCCACTGACTAAAGCAAGACGAGTTTGTTTTGCATGACAACCGTGACCACTGAGGGTTTTTCCTTTTTCTTCTGTGGGAACGATGAAGAATGAAGCAAACAACAAAACCAAGGAGCATTGTCACTTGAGTTATGGCTCCAGCCACAGCAGGCGTGTGCGCAAACACCCAGAAAACACATTGGCTCAGCCGCCACCGACTCAGGAATGTGTTTTTGTTTTTTTTTTGTTTGTTGTTTTAAATCCTCATTGGAAGATCTGGCAGAGGTTTAGTAGAAGGATACTATTTACCCTAAATAGTATGTTTACTCCAGGCCATAAATATGTGTTTGACAGGTAGAGTCTTAAATGCATTTAGATTTACCTATTAAAATGAATTTTAAACAATGAATCCTCTGAAAATGAATCAATAGAAAAATGTTTGACCTTTATAGGATTGGTTGCAGACAACAGGAATCGTTTTCCCGTAGCTTATGAGAATAGACTACATGCTGCTTCCTTTTGCTCAACGCTGGTTCTGGAAACCAAGTCATCAGAGACCTGAGGGATCTTCAGTGCTCTGCAAAGGTTTTAGGGATATATAGAAAATACAGTAACATCAGAATGCTGTCAAAAACATAAATGACTGCTTATTTTTATTGACTTAAAATGTCCTTGACTTACTCAGTATTTGGTGCAACCATTGTTGTCAAAGCAGCCGGCTTGCAAAAAGTTAAGAGATTATTTAGGATTGTTGGTTCACATTCAGTTATATGAAACTAAAGCTCATTGAAACAGAGTATTTAATGGCAGCTGAAAAGGCTGTGTAGGAGGCTTCTAACTAGGTGAGGAACAGCCTATCTCTGCTACCGAGGTCAGGCTGGGGAAGACCCTTTCATATCCCGGGTCATAGACCCAGCAAAGCAATAAGAAACATATTGCCTCTGAAGATCACAGACACAATGGGTGGCAAGTGGCCCGGCAGATGAAAAACACATCGCGCTTATTTCCCTATGAAGTCAGATGCCAAAAATCAATAGGACCCGGATAAACCCATCTACTGCCTGGAGAAGTCTGGCTAGAAAGGGGTCTTCATGAAGAAGTTGCTGCCAGAAAATTATAAAGCTTCCATAATAAAAGGTTGTAAGAATGTTTGAGGCAGGTATATGAGGGCTGGGGTCAAGTGTCATGATTATATTCTACCCATTGTATGGACCTCCACAGCAGGAGAGCCCTATACCTGATTCACTAAACATCGTGGATAGTTTAGTTTCTTAACAGCAAAGCAAAACAAAAAAAGGAAAAAGTGCTATCATTCCTTAAATACTTGGGAGAAGAATACATTTTTACCTGAATTATTCCCTTTTGTCGCACAGATCCAATCCACTGAGCTTTGGTTGCTGAAGCTCTGAGAGCCTGAGGTGAAAATGATCCCTTATCAGAGTTTTGTCGGTTTAAGTTTGCATGTTATGATCTCTGTGATGCCCTGAAATGCTTTTCTCTAGTGAGTCATTGTTTACTGCGGGCCGTGCATGTCTTTGAATCCCCTTCTCAGATTGCAGGATGTTGAACTTAGCAGGATGCTCCCAGTGTTTAAGCCTCCTACCTCACTTCCTGTTGGACAGCTGAGTTTGGGGCTCTTTTGTTGAGTCTGAGTTGATTGTTGAAATGAATGAGTGTTGTTGGGGTTTTTTTGGGCCTGGGGAAGACATGCAAGGCCTCCAGCTGTGCCACAGCATTCTCGTCTGCACTGGAGTGGCGACGTGGCCAACAAAAACACAAGCCAGCCAGCTCCACTCACATCACAGCCGCCGATCTCTTTGAGCTCTGTGCAATTGTCTCACAGAAGATGAGGGTCCAAGATATGCCCCGACAGAAGACTCTCGCACGCAACATGGGATAGGTGCCGCTTGAAGACATTTGAACAATTATTTGGTTACCAGATAAATGTGGCTGTTGATCTCTGATTTAAAACCACTTATCTTTTTAAATGAGTGTTGAAGATATTCAGGGATGATTGATAGATCCAACGTTTCTTTTCATCCTATTTGGAAGAAACCCAGATTTAAAAAATAACTGTTTAAGGGGCTAAAGAACCTTAGTTTAAGAATCTAAACTTTTTTTTATAAGGCATGACGTTAATTTCAGGGGAAACATGAAGTTTTGTTGATGGAGGTTAAAGCAAAGTGTCAGAAGTTAATGTGTCAGCCAGGCCGCCCATTAACCTGCGGGGAGGCGTGTGTGTGTGTGTGTCTGTGAGGTGGGGGGGTCATTTCCCTCAGGAGACAGCTTTGGAGGGAGGGGAAGTCAAGGGAGTGGCTTGTTGGTATTGTGTGACGGTGTGTGTGTGTGTTTGAGATGTGGCAGAGGGAGCAGAGCAGCAGAGTAGCGGACATCCTGACTACAAGCAGGTTACTGCTGAGACAGACGGGAAGAGGCTGGAAGTAAGGCAGTAGGTCTAAGGAAAAGGAGGTAAACGTGACTCAGACATTTTTTTCTATTTTTCAGGCAAACGCTTATGTGGCTTTCTTAACCATTTTTGGGTTATTTTACTCCCTTTAAAACATAATTGGAAAAGGATTTCCTTAATCATTCTGTTGCTCTCTGATTGGAAAATGGGACGTGCCTGCCTCTGTGTTTACATTTCAGGTTTGTACATCTAGGTTTACTGCTGCGGGATCCAGCAACAGGTTGAATACTCAGTGTTGTATTAACTATATATGGCTTGTAGTTCAATATAAAATCTAACAACCTGTAGGCTATGGAGAAAAGAGTTTGAATATTGAATGCTTATTCTTTACCGACGGGTAGGGTTTGCTGCTTAGGTAAGTTCAGGGAGGCAGCCTTTTGGTTTCAGACTGTTCTGCTTGTTCTTGTCTGTAAGCATTTTGCAAGAAGAGACCTGAATAAACAAAAGCTTAGTCTTTGAAACCAAATCCAGCATTTGAAATTAAGGGATTAAGTGTTTTGAAATGAGACAATAGAACATAAAAAAAAATACCAAAGGTAGCGCAGAATGGAATGCAACAATTTGTAGTAAATAAAAGAGACTCTGAGTGGAGGACTTGAGTGATACCAAGATAACTGCTACTGTACCAAAGTCGCTGGGGCAAAGCCAAGTGTGCGGTTCATCCAGCTGCAGCAATGGAAAGTGAGCTGTCAGGTTTCTACATTTCTTCTCCACGTGAAATCACAGAAGACCTCAAAAGTTTTTAAGCTCACAAGGGTTTAATGGAAAACTGCAAGATTGAATCTGCAGCTGATCTGAGTTTCTAAGCCGGCTGCTTCTAGAGGTGTGTTCCTAATGCTCTGTTTTTGTTTTTTTTAAATGGTGGACTTCTGATGTCCCTCGCCTTTCTATGCTGACCAGAAGGGCCAGTTGTATTTTTTTTTTATGCGTTTGTCATGAACAGACCCATTGCTGTTTTTTTTCTGAGTGGGACAGTGTTGGTGAAGTGCCAGTCTGGTCCTGGCTGTCAGGGCCGGAGGGAAGCCACTAATGACAGCGTGGTGGCTGGCGGCAGGTCTGCAGCTCTCTTCTATTTCCACTCTATCTTTTTTCACCCTGCCTCACCGTCTCTGAGAAAGCTGTTCCCTGTGGTTTTACTGGGAGCTTTGAAAAGACGGCTGTCTGTCTGACCGCTGGTGAAGCAGGACAGGATTTCGGGGGAGGGTCCCACTCCTTAATTGAGCTGATGGCTTAGAGACAGTCATCACCCCCTGTGAGCTTCTCATTGAATACTTTATTGTGGGCAACAGTCATCTTGAAGTATTTCACTTTCGTGCCTCCTTTCTGCTGTTGTTTGTCCACTAAACTCATCAAACACTTTAGAGGCTCATTAAGGGAGCATTCAGCAGAATTACTGCTTCCCATTGTGGTGTCCCTGACATTTACTATTATTTTAAAAGGTTAAGTGGGTGGATGAGCTCCCAAGAGAATATTCTGGGTTTGACAATCTTTACTGGAGACTTCTTTCCTTTAGAGAAGTGGCCTTAAACTTTAGTCCTAGAGGGCTGATGTCCTGCAATGTTTAGATGTCTCCGCTTTAGCACACCTGACTCCAATATGAGCTCATTAGCAGAACTCTGCAGAGCCAGTGAGGTAGTTTAGCCCTTTGATTCAGCTGTTGGAGTTGCAGGACAACGGCCCTCGAGGATTTGAGTTTAAGAGTGGAGCTTAAACTCTTCTGGTTGCTTTTAACCAGGAAAAAAAAAGTAACATTACTGAAGTAACTTACAAAAGCATCTGAATCCCTTGAGCTTTTTCCTATTTTGTCATAAAGTTATTAAGATTTTATGGGATAGATCAACGCAAAGCAGAACATAATTAAAGTGTTGAAGGTTCCTATTTTGTCTTTAAAGGAAATGGGGTCTGGAATTGTAAAAGAACACATCCACATCCACATTTTTTTAAATGCTAATGGGAGATAAAGTGTAGGTCAGCCTTTATGTATCTCTAGATTGCTTTGAATGGGCTTCGGGGTGCATACCACGCTGCAATTCGGGGGCCCAATTTGCCATGCAGCTCTACAGATGCGACGTCAATTAGTGCTGCATGCGCGCCCGATGGCTTTGATACGGGAAGTCATTGTCTTTTTAGTAGAAGTTGAAGAAGAAGAAGCGGTTGTTTTGCATACTTCCTCACTTGAGATGGTGCTTGTTGCTGTCATAAAATATGTGCCGCGGTCTTGTAGTAAACTGTTGCAAAGTAAAGAGCGTTGGTCATGGGTATGAATAAACCGCTGACTATTGACCTATAAAATCAGTTTATATATCTTACAATTATGTATTGGGCCCTTTTTAACTTTGATGACTAGGGTTGGGAATTGAAAAGATTTTCACGATTCCGATTCCCTTTTCGATTCTATGAAACGATTCGATTCTTTATCGATTCTTTTTTCGATTCCAATTTGGGGGGAAAAGGAGAACAAACAGTTTGATTATCAGAATCAAATTTGTTTACTTAACTATTGCACAATCTTACAAACTCAACAAGATCAAGATGTCCACAGGAAATGTGAAACTGGAGTAACATCTGTGTTTAAATGAAAAATCAATATACAAGAACAAACTTAATAACCAACAATGTCTAATAACAAATGATGTGATAATAACCTATTTTAAATAACAAAAAAAACTAATTATAAAACAGTAGTAGGGAAAATTAACAGTTATTTTGCAGAAAGATGAGCATATCTGCTTTTTCTGGAAGGATACGGGATCTTTCAGGGCTTATGGTGTCTCCAGCCGTGGAGAACACCCTCTCAGATGGGGTGGAGGAAGCCTGCACACAGAGGTAGTTTTCAGCCAGTCCAGATAGCAAGGGCAGCACATCTTGCTTGTTCCACCACCACAGTGTGGCGCTATCCCTGCAGGGGATGGAGGGCAAGCTTTTACAGAGCTGGATTTCCTGATCTACCCTCTGGGCTAAGGAAAGACGGGGCTTTGATTCACAAAGTGACCGCAGCTCGTTGTCTTCCTCCTCGAATAGTTCTTCCAACTTGCGTAACTTGCGTAACTTGCGTAACTTACGTAAAAAACGTGACGTAAGTCGTGCTCCCCAGAGCCGGCGCTCTAGGCTCTGGTGCTGCGGGAATCGAAAAAAGAATCGTTCAGTGAGCTGCCAAACGATGCCATGGAATCGGAAAATACGGAACCGGTTCTTAACAGGAACCGGTTTTCGATTCCCATCCCTATTGATGACTGAATTTAATCCACTGCAAACTGTAGAACAGACGTCCTGTAATGAGTGAATAGAGTTGACCTGTGCGTTACAGATCTGGGGTCAGAGGCTTGTCATAATTAACAAATAACATTGTGATGATCGAAAGCAGAGCAGCAGGCCAGAGGTGAAGTTTTGGATGTTCAAATGTGGCATGAAGATTTCCTTAACTCGCAGTAAGGGCCAGGAAAAACGTTAACTAGAGGAGCGGCCATGGGGCCATGTGGTAACTCTGGATGAGCGGCAAAGATCCAAAGCTCAGGTGGAAGAATCTTAAAGTCGTAGGAAAACGGCTGTTCTAACCGTTGCAGTTCTGAATTCTCCAGAGTGGTGCCCGACTTTTCATGACAGAAAAGCTGCTCAGTTATTCAGAAGATTGATGGATAGAGTTAAATGCAGGACAAATTGTAGTGAAAAGCTCTCAGATGTTTTAAAAGACTTTAGGTTAGGGCTGGAATTTAAAAACACCCCCTGAGCTACAAAAAGTTTAGATTAAAAATATGAAGGTATCAGAATGGCCTAGTCAAAGCTCAGACTTAAATCCTATTTCGAACATTAGGCCAAACCTGTAAACACAGACTCGTTCATCCTTACCATCCAGTCTGACTGAATTTTATAGATGGGAAAAAAAACCTGCTCATACATAGATTTGGCTTTGACATTCCCCAGAAAACTTCCGACTGCAGCTTCAGTGAAAATAGGTGTTGAAAACAAATGCAATACACCTTGAAAAAAATATTTTTTTTGTCTTCCACTTCAGTACATATTCATATAAATTTTAAGGTATCTGGAGGTACATGCATGCACCCAAATCTTTGTTGCTGACATGAGGTCCATTGACATAATTAACACAGTAGCTTTTTGCCAAACGTTCAATAAATCTTAAAAACATGTCAGTGTGTTAATATGTGCAGCTGCGATGTAAAGCATTTCTTTGGATTTTGGAGTTTATGCACACATGTTTCTTGTATTTGTGCAGCTGATTTTTCCTGAGCAGGGGCTTTAGGTCACAGAGGTCAGACAGTCCTGTCTGTATCTTTCCTCCTCCACATGCATTACTTCACCATATGCTAAAACACTGCAGCCTCTCCTCAGGGAATCCTCTTAAGCATAAAGCTATATTTGCCATCCGAAGGCCACTGCTTCAGAAAGTTATGAGCATTAATTGTGTGAAGGTGACTCATCAAAAAAAGGGCTTTCACATGTGTAATAAGGAACTGTGAATTGTGATTTGTTTTCCACAGGAGACGGGGAGTGGCAGTGACCTCCGGGCCCCGACCCAGGAGCTAAACGCACAGCAAACACAATACCAGAGAGAGCCAGCGAGAAAAGGTAGGAAAGCCATAGAAAATTTAAGGGCTCAGAAATGGTGTCACTACAGAGAATCATCTAAAAATAACTTCAAACTTCTTTAAAAAAATGTTTGCCCTTTACTAGAGTAGTTAAATATAATGCTCTCCCAATAGAATGAGTATTTATGCCCTTAAAGTAAGAGGATTTAATGACTTACTGAGATTTCAGTTTTTGTTTTTGCATTTAAAAAAATTCACGAAAAGCATTCATTTTCTACAAGCTGATTTAGATGACTGCAGTTTAATAAAAGCCTGATAATTATCCATGGATGAAGCAGGGGAAATTGTAAAAGAAGCTGGACACTGGCCCTCAAGAATGTCTTTATTAAACATTTTTTATTAACAGTCGCATCAAATATTACTTTGTTTTGCTGTGTGACATCTACATTCTCCATCTGTGTAAGGTTGTTGCTTCTGGGTTGGGAGCTGTTAAAACTGAAGTCTGATGGCGGTTATGTTAGATTTCTGGTGTGAACGACCTTGAAAATACAAATGACAAAAAAACATGGATTTCAGCAAAAACCCACTTTGTGTGTTTCAAATTCTCTTCAAAAAGTACGTATAAAGTTTCACTTGTAGTCATTTTTTTACGAGTTAAATAGATGCTAAAGCAGATGCTACATAGAACAGTTTTAAAGGACAATTTATTTAGTAAAAAGCTATTTTCTCAAATTTAGTTTCCTTTCTTTTATTGTTTAAAATACTCCTTTAGTAGCCTTTTAGCACTGAAAACCGTCAGCTTTTTCTTCAGGTGTTAATTATTGCACCTACCTGCATGCTTCCATCATATTTACATATCACGCTCTGGGGATCAGTGAAATACAAGAAGTGGATTGTATATACTGTAAACATCCATGTGAAGGTCAGGCGTGGGTAAAATCTGCTAAAACACAGAGTCCACACTGACCACCTTTGTTCCAAGTACCTGCAGATGTTTTTTTCCGCTTCTTCCACAGAAGGAGCCGTTCTTTTGAGGTGCCAGTCAAGAGGTCGTATTAGTTTAGCCACATTAAGCTGCTTCATCCAACTTTATGAAGTGTTTGCAGTTCTTTGCATGTTGATTGTTAATGGTTGAGGCTTGGGCATGGAGTAAATGAATCAAACTGTTATTCCTCCCATCAGGTAGCATCAAGGGCTGCCTGTTGGGATGAATTAAGGAATACATTTTGTGATCAAGCTTGCAGTTTTTTTGATTGTAAGCAAGAAACAGTTTAAAATGTTTTTGCTTTTTTTTTTGCAGGCTAAATAAATCACTGTCTGCTATATGTCTTTGTTGTTCATTTAGGGTTATTACCAGGGCAAAGGTCATGATAAATGTGTTTCTGTGTGGTCTGGTTTGGGCGTGGCTCAAACTGACCAGTGCTCAGTGGTGTGGGGTTATGTGGAGGAACACAGAGAAAAACCTACAGCCACACCTCTGCTAAATAAATCCGATACCACAACAACTCCCGGCTGTTCTCGATTTAACCGTACCGTACAATTTAAGCCGGGGTCAAACAAGGATCAACCAAAGAAGACCACCATAGAAAAGGGGAGGACAAATGTATATTATAAAGGGATGTGTCAATAAAATTAGTGGATTGTGGTCAGGGTGGGACTCAAGCTGTTGACCTGTTTGAGTAAATTTGGCCAAAGAACATTTTGTTTTTCTTTTTGAAATTTACGGTTTTACTTCCTGACAAAAAAGCCTTTATTTACTATATTTCCTTAAACCGTCACATGTCCAGCTGTGCAGAACTGCGGCGGAAACTCTACCACCTAAGTCTATGATTTAGGAAATGAAACGTTTTCAGAAGCTCTCAGTGGGCTTGACCTTGCATTTTGAGAACCCTGAAGAACAGAAACACTTTTAACAGTTTAACAGCCATGTGGTGAGTGAACAGAGGCTGGGTCACAAGGCAAACATCCTTCAAAAGTTTTGATCTGCTAAAAATAAATCTCTTGAGAGTACACATGGACTGGGTACTGACATAACGTTATGCGAGGGGCCTTTTAATAATTAAAGTTTCTAAAACCTCCTTCTCTCTTCCTTTGGTTTAGGATTCTTTGGGTAGAATTCCCATATAATATGGGCATATAATGGTGCGTTCTTTGTATTCAAAGGTTTAATTCCTTTTTAAAGAGCAAAAAAAATAAAAAAATCAATTTATCCAAAAGATGAACACTTAAGGAATGTTACAAAATAAGAATATGTTTACTCTGACCTATATGTTTTCTAACTGTATATATTAGCAGGAATATTCATAGTTTCTAGGTTTAAATCAAAGTGTGAAAATGATATGCAACAGTGAAACTGCTGTATTTTTTATCAAGGTTACTATATCCTAAAGACTCCTAACTACTATAGAGCCATGCTGGGGTAACATTTTGCACATTGCATGGGGTACATCTCTAAGGAGTGAGTGTTTTATCCATGTCAGTGTTTACCTACCATTTGTTTGAAATCAGTTTAACATCAGATGCAATCTAATGACAGGAAAAGTTGAACGGTTAGGTTTTTACTCCACACTTAAATCATCCACCTCCTTAGACTTAATAAAACCATTTGAAATTATTAATGAACCAGAAAGAAGAATAAATAAATGTCTTTTAAAAAGCATTTTTGTTTAAGCTAAGTAAATGAAAACATATACAGTTACAGTCTTTAATAACCTCTAGCTTCAGCTGAGGTGCTTTTTTCTCTTCCTTCCCTATTTTAATAGCATTTGTTGATGCTTTGGTTTGGAGCCTATTTCAATGCTAAGCGGAAGAGCAAACAATATTTTCATGAAAATAAAAGTAGCTGTATGCTAATCAAAGAATATCCCCCAAGGGATTCATAAAGTTATTCTGATTTTGCTCTGGATCAGACAGTGGCATAGCGGCCCTTTCTGATTGTTAAAGTGGTGTTAGCGTTTTATACGATAGGTTTAATGTGGTTTAGTGTAAACCATAAAAACTACTACGATCTTTATCTAGATTTGCTCCCGCATAGTGACACATCAGAGTGTGTCATACTGACAGGTTTAGACACAAAAGCAGGATTGCAACTAACATACAGTAAAACTGTGAAAATAATGCCATGGACAGAAAGGAAGCACTATAAGACCTCTATGTACATTTTATTAACAAAATATATACATTTGGGTGTGAGTTTCCTTTTAAAAAAGCCTCTGTAATCCTCTCCTCCACATTTAAAGGTGGATGTATATGTAGCTGTGTGAGTTCAAAGGCCACTTAGAGAGAAAGGGGCGAGCAGCAGCCCGCACCTTGATCATTAGAGAAAGACCTACATCTATTAGTGTGGAGTTTATGTATTCTGGTGTTTAACACTGGTTATGAGCTGCTGAGGCAGAGTCAAAACGCTCAACTCTTGCAATGACCTCTCCATAACATGAATGCTCGGGTCAGACGTTCAATCCAAAAGCAGCAGAAATAACTCCTGGTTGTTCTTTGTTTCAGCTTTATATATATATATATACCCTCTGGCAACAGATTGCAGCTTTTGTAGCTATTTTTCAAGCTGGAAAAAAAAGCCTTTCATTATGCAGCCATGGGGATTTTCCCAGAAATAGATGAAGAATTGAAATGACAGCTTCCCAGAGTTTAAGTCATGAACAATAACAAGAGAGTTTGTTAAAGAGACAACATGCTCTGGCTCTCACTTCGGTTACAGTTGAACACTAATTGGGTTTTAAGCGTGTGCCTCATTAGATTCCAACACATTGCAAAGTGTCGTCCAAATTGTGTACAGAAAACATCTTTTATCGCCTCCTGTTATATAATCATCCTATTTTATTAAATTAGAAACACTGATAATTTTCTTCTCTTGTCTTTTATGAACTAAATGCTCTATAGAGCAGCTTTGCACTGCTATGAAAAAAAACATTAATAATCAGCTGCTTTTAATCAGTCATAGAAAAATAGTAGTGCTATAACAAAATATCTTATTATTGTTTTTATTTTTTTGTTAAACAGAGCAGTTATCAGTTACAATATTCTATATTTTGGCGGTGAGGTGATGGGACTTAAAGGTAAAGCTAATGCATCTTTAGGTTCTTTAGTTTTTGTAATATCTATATTATATTTTGGAGTGGCAGCCTAGTGGTTAGGGCATAGAGCTTTGTATCCGGAGGTTCTGAGATTGATACCAGTTCCCACTGCCGCAGACTGCCACTCTGGGTCCCTGAGCAAGACCCTTAACCCCACACTGCTCCCAGGGCACCGAACAATGGCAGCACACTATGAACATCTGCATTTTTTTGGTGTTTTTTCCTGACCTGCATCGGGAAACAGAAACAGGTGTATAATTTTTTCATACAGATGACTGCATTCAAATCTAGTGTGCAGAGAGTGATTAAAAAACAGACTGCTGACTGCCTCATGTCAGTTTCTTTTTGATTTAGAACTGAAGTCATACTGTCTCTGAGAAACATGTGGTTCAGAGGTCATTCAGAACTGTTTTTACACATATGATGAAGGAACCACCATGCTGTTTCCATGTGATATGAGAAGTACCTCATCTATCCTATGACATAGCAACACCATAAAGGTAGACGGCATCTCAAGGGAGGATGTAGATACCTTGTTTGGAGTTTGGTTTCCTGATCAGAGAGGGAGACAGAGAAGGGAAGTGCTTATCTCTATAGCCTTATTTCTGCTTCCTCTTTTTCCCCGGTTCCTTGTTTCTTTCCATCTATGGTTGTAAGATGTTCTCTCTCTCAGACTTAAGCCAGGAACTGACGGCCATGAAAGATCTACATCCCCTTAAAACTCCCTGTACCTCTTCTAAGATCCTGAGACATTCACTAAACTGATTCCTTTAGGGGCCTTAGAGCAATAGAGGACTTTTTCTTGAATAACTTCAGTTAAAACGTCACTCATCACCTTTAGTGCAACATCACTGAACTGCTTATACTGTATGTTAAAACCATAAATGATTGAATTAAACAATTTATTTGAAGCTGCATACATCTGTTTATGATAAATCAATCTTAATGTACAGATTTCTTCCATATGCTGTCATAATTTAATGCCAGGGCTTAATTAGCATGTTTACTTTCATATGACTGATACTCCATCATGTGGCGTAAATTTTTTTCCAGACAAGACCAACTGAAAAAGTTTGTCTGCTTCACCAAATCATAGCTTTACTTTGAATGTTTCCAAGTTTACTGCCAAGCGTTTCACTGTCATCCCCACGGCCGTGGATATCTGAGGTGAACATCCAGAGCAGGTCACACAAAGCAGACAGACTGAGCTGCAGCAGCCAGTACAGTCCGTCTTTAACTTTGAATGTTGTTGCAAGGAATGAATCATTAGGGAAAACAGTCCTAAAATAATTTGCATGGCCTAAAAACTGCAGTGTTTTGCATTTGATTCTCATAGTTTTAAATAAAAGTGTTCTATGTAAAAAGAGTAAAAAAAAAAACGTGGGATTTCTTATTGATTTTCCTTCCTTTGACCAGTCTGGTTAAATGAACACTGGCTGACTGATTTGTGAGGCTCTAATTTTTATCTTTCCTGTATTTATTTCAGGGACGAGCTCCGACTCCGGCATGGTTCTGGTTCTTGATCATCGGGTAAAGGATGACACTATGCTGATCCAGCCTCAGAAGGAAGCTGTGACCCCAGACTCTGACCTGTTACTGTCCAACCGGACAAGGTCGAACTCCACAGCTTCGGATCGTAGTGGGACTTCTGTGCACTCTGTGAGCTCAGAGAAGAGTCTGGGCTCAGGCCCCCGATCCCGGCTGGACTCTGGAGCCTCGTACAGGAGCCAGAGTTCCTTCCAGCGGGGTCGCCTTGACTCTGGCGGATCAGAGCGCAGCATCGGCTCCCTGTCTTCTGCCAGACAGAGACTGGGATCAGATGTCTCAGATTCATGTGTCAGACCTCGTTTGGGGTCTGTGAATAAAGACGGCATGGGTGTGTTATCTAGAGGTCGGTTGGACTCTGTGACATCCGACCTCAGCGTGGGTTTGTCTTCTGAGGAGAAGGCTCCATTGGAGGATGTAGAGAGAACAGGAAGTGGTTCAGGCAGCAGCACTGACTCAGAACCTGAGAAAAGCCAAATTCCTGCCAGCAGTCAGAACCGATGTAACCAGGAACTCCATCCTAACCAGGATGGACCTGATGGGGCTGTTTTATCTCGAAGTGGTCCTGTGAATGGGCTCCACAATGACCACACTCAGGGAAATTTTAACTTCAAGAAGGTTGGTGTATACTTCAACTGATTGTTTTTCAATATCTAATAAATATATATAGGCATATTAAAGGGGGAAACCCATTGTGTGACCCCTGAAAACCACTAGGTGTCAGAGTACAGCAGCAAAGCAAACAGAGTTTGGGCTTAAAGATCAAGACAGATTTCTTAATATGGATGCATTCTCCTTTTTTTTTGACTCTTTTTAATCAAACAATATAACTTCTACATTGCATAAAGCCGACCTCAGATCTCAGTTAGACATAGAGAAGTTCACCCAGAATTTAAAATAAATAGAATCTGATGAGAGACGCTCTGACTCTGACTTCACTAAGTTTTTTTTCATGTATTTTGTGGACAAAAATATTGACGGCTGTACAGCATCATGCATACAGTATGGCTACATCTAAAAAAAAAAACAAAAAAAAAAACACTTTCATCTAAAATGTCCTTAATTCCAGTAATTTTGTTCAAAACATTAACCTCATATAGATTTGTTGCACTGTCAGTTTAAAGTTCTGCAAACATTTGTCTGGTCGTGTTTGTCAAGTAGTTCTTCAATTTCAAAAAGCTTATAAATGTGATTCTTATCAAGCAGGCTGTTTCGAACTGTCTTCACAAACGAGGTGAACAACTAAAGCTTATTGCTATAGAAGCTGGCTGTTCAGAGTTCTTTCCCAGCATATTAATGGAAAGTTTAGTGGCAGGAAAGTCTGGGAAAAGAGGATTTAATTCATAATATGGAATAACTGTGTAATGAGTTGATATAAGTTTCACTTTTTGAGAAGTTTCACTGACCTTTATAAATATTACAATGCTATTTCAATGTATTTATATGCAGATGTCTTTCCTTTTAATATGGATTTGTTATTGCAATAACTTAAATCTGTGCAGCTGTTCATAAATGTTGTTTTTTGGTGCAATCTGAGCCAGCTGGACGGCGCAGCTATTAAGCATTTATCAAATTGGCTTTACAGAGAGGGGCGCTGAGCTGCACATTCACAGCCAGGAGCACCAACCTTTCAGGCTCTCCGTTTAATCATACTTGAGTAGAAACTCCTTCGCTCGATTCTTCAGCGACATGCAGGTCCCATCGGCATCCATAAACACAACAAGTTTAGCTCCTAGTTGATGCTGTTTGGTGTCCGTTACTTGGTTACACAAACAAACTGTGCACCTGATTGTCTCTGGTTCAGCTCAGCGGTATGTCTGCCTCACCTGCTCTCAGAAAGGAATATGTGCCTCTCGTTCTCCATCCCAGAGTGCTAGGAAAACAGAAAATCATGACGCATGACGGCATCTAGACTCTCCTCTAAACATATTTAGCCAAAGCCACAAATTCTTTCACTGTTCGCTCTAAAACAGGCTGATGTGGAGTCGGTCTCCTGAGAGTAATGTAAACATCAGAGCGTCTAGCCGTGGCCGCGGTGCCAGGAAAAGAACAGAGGGCCACATTGACATGTTCAAATATAAATGTAACACAATGAAAACACAGCAGCCAGAGCTGAATTTAGCATCCTCTCTGTGATTATGCCCCAATATGCAGACTCCAGTTCTTTATGAATCTCCTCTACTGCTCAGTGTAGCAGGGAGCTGGGTGGTTGTCAGCAGAGCGGGTTGACCTTTAATCTGTGCTGCTTCTTCTCATGGATCACCATATTTCTATGTTTGTCTTCCCTCCTTTTTAGATAACATCTGATGGAAATCTGACATTCCCTCATGGCAAGGCCAAGGAAACGGGTAAGACTTTAGTTCAGCTCTGCATAAAATCACTCAACAATTCAGTGTGATTATCTTTTCACCAGAAAAAACATGTTGGCATTTAAACTGGCTTTATTTGTGCCATCAGGTCAATATGTTGGCAGCTCAGTGTTTCTGAGCTCCTTTTTAGAAATTAGCATACATATGTTGTGAAAAGGAAAATATTTATTTATTAGATGCTACAAATATTATAAGATAAACCTACATTTGTGCTAAAAATCTTGTTTTGTTATAATGGTGATCTAAACACTGATACTCTATACTCGTAATTAGGAGTCACAGGCTTTTAAACAGTTACAGGCTCTTTACATAAGTTATTTCCAAATTTCTTAGCATCTAATGTTCTAGTCTACATACGGCCTCATCCTCAAAAGTTTTGGGATCTTAAAACACATGAAGACTTGCCTTGTACATCCAGAGACGATCGTAAAATAAGCCCCAAAAAGGGACTTAAATTGCACATGCAAAGGCAGCACATGTAAACCTTTTTTTGTGTGTAAACTCTTCAAAATGTGGATCAAATTTTAATGGCTTGAACTGTCAAAACGTGTATGCAAAGGAATGTAAATATTTACCACATGCATAGCTAAATTATTTCAAATTGAGCCTCATTTTAGCACTTCTAAATGTCAGATGCAAGCTTACAGGGAGGAATTTCTGAGGTTTTTTCAATATATTTTATATTTAACTTGAAGATATAGTAGAGGATGTTCTTTTTCAGGTTGATTTTTAAAATAAGTGGTCCTCCTAATTGTCAGTCTTTCTGGTGATATGTTTACGTAAGGTTGTCCTGCTTGCTCGTCCTCTTTTTCCACTTACACTACGGGTGTTGAGTCTGACATAATGGAAAAATTTCCAATCTCTCTTTTGGAAAGTAAGCTTGTATGAGCAATGCAAACAGCACCTTTTAAACAGAGCGTACACAAGGAGAAACAGGCTCTTGCACGAGTTTAATAGGCATTCACTCTCGAGAGCAGTTACAGGGTTGTGCATGTGCATTTTTTTTTTTAAGTGGAGAGGGTTGGTCTTTTCAAAAAAATCATGAAAATCCTCCACTTGACATTTAAACAGTTCCCTTTTTCATAATTTTTTTTATTTGTACTTTTATTTGTAGCACTTTAAAGGGGCAAAGTCGAGTTACATTGTTACTATTGTTTAAATGATTATTGCCATCATTGCCTCCAATAAAATGCTGCTGAATCTCATCTTCCTTTTATGGCCACTCTCAGACTGCCAGTAGCGCACACAGACCGCTCATTTTAATAGGATGCAACCAAACCGGCATGCTATCATTTGCGCAAGCTATCTTTGTAGATCACCTGCAACAGGTCCACTTATTGCATATGCAAAATAATCTTTTCACAGGAAATTTGGTGTTCTTTGTTTTCATTCTTTGAAGCTTAGGTCCTAAATGGCTTTATCCATGGTGTGCAAAAATGCCTGCCTTGATTTTCTCATGCTTTTTTACAGACTGGTGTGGGTGTGTGTGTGTGTGTGTGTGTGTGTGTGTGTGTGTGTGTGTGTGTGTGTGTGTGTGTGTGTGTGTGTGTGTGTGTGTGTGTGTGTGTATGTATGTATGTATGTATGTATGTGTGTGTATATATATATATATATATATATATATATATATATATATATATATATATGAAATGACAGTTGTCAAAGTATTGACACATTTTATTCCTCTTTAATACTGTGTTTGACACATTATCTGGTTTTCTTTAAAACTAAATTTAAGATTCTCTTTGAATAGGGAGAAGTTTTTCATTGACCCTAGCTTTATCCTATAAGGCTCTATGTTTCCTTCAACTTTTCTTTGTAAGAAGGGTGTTTCAGTGTTTGCTTACTTAAAATAAAGACATTGTATCCATTATCAGTTTGCATAGCTAATAGTTAATCACCTGGTTAAGTCTAATTTGTTGTACAGATGAAGATGCACTAATCAGAAACTGGTCAGTAAAATTTTACCTGCAAAAATGAACTATATTCACCCTGATAGACGATTATCATCAGACCTGATCATTTTCTTGCCTTCCTACCATACTTGTACTAAGAGCATAAGTAAAATCATGCCACTCTTTGAGACAGTGTCTCTAAAAAGGTTTTTATAATGATATTAACCAAAGACAAATAAAGGAGCTGATCAGCATAGCTAGCATTCCTACAACAACAGTTTGCATGTATTTTCTAAAGAAAACGAACTACCTAGGATTCCAAGAAAGCAGCTATAATTTTCAAATTCAGTGTGAAAGGTAGATGTTAAAAAGATAAAACGGAGTGATGCATATTTTGTTCAGCCTTCTTATACTTTCTCATTTTCTCTTACAGTGTATATAAATTGTAGACACTTTTATGCTCTTTAAAAATAGCTAAATGTAGCACACATCTACTATTCACTGTCTTTATATGAAGCACCTCACTGTTCTTTATCCCAAATAGTTTTCTGTACTCAGTAACACCGTAAAATAACATTTTTCTGACTAGACTTTTTGGATTATTTTCAGTTTAGAGTCCTGATTTTTTTTAAAGGTAAAGGAAACTGTAGTTTGCACTCACATAAGCCATGAACGTGATTTAGGCAGATCAGGCTGACCTTTTTGCTTAGATGATAAGCACGGCCTTAAATTCTGCACATATTAATGGAAATTTGGGACCCGGAAAACTTGGATATACAATTTTATCGATTAAATGTTTTCATTTTTTATTTTTTTATTTTTTTACAGAGATGCCATGAATATACATACCTTCTTTATATTAAATCTAATCCTGATTATTTAAAGATTCAGAACGTTGTGGTGTTCATTTGAAGTGGGGTCCAATCACAATCTTTCCCCTATCATGATTAGGCTTCCCTTTTATAAAAGACAGACATCAAGTCAAGTAAAGATCTGTTGGAGATATTGATGTTTATAATTGTTATAATTTTTTTGTACAAGCAATCTGAACAAGTAAATTTATTTTAGAAGCTTCCCTTCTCTGTATTCCATTGTTTTTCTCTAAAATCAGTTCCTTCTTTTGCAGCACCTGAAAAGAAAGATGTCATCTTGGAGAATTTCAGTCGCACCAACTCTGTTCGTGACCGAATGCGCAAGTTCACAGAAGCCAGCCAAAGCCCAAACCCCCCAGTTCTGAAGAAGAACCCTCTGAGGAACGGAACCACCTCTGGCCTTAACAATTTCTCCAGAGCTGCAGAGGTTTTTGCTCAAACATCAGCAACCTCCAGCAAATCTAAAGACAAACCCACTAAGACAACTGTAGGATCAGGTTCTAACACCTCCGCTGTGTCCCAGAGCCCAGCTGCACCTCAGCCCCTCAAAGGAGGGGCCGAAGGACCTCTGTCTTCAGCCAGCCAATCACAAGCCTCCCTGGGTGGGACGAGGCTACCCGCTGAAAAAGATGTGCCTGTCTGTGCTGAATTAAAGGAAGACAGGACCCTAGGGAGAGCAGCTGAGAAAGAGATCCCTGAGGGAGAGGAAGACCCCGACATGAAGACTTTCCTCACGATTGAGATCAAGGATGGGCGCACCACCACCAACTCCTCATCCACCGCTTCAACGCCAAGAGGCAGCATGATGCCCATCACCAGCATGACCCCCCGCATCACCACTCTGGGACAAAGACCAGGTAAGCAGCACCAGCCTTACAGCTTCAGACATCTCTGTGTTGAACCACACTATACAAGCCTTTTATGGTTCTAATTAAATAAATAACTGGAATCCCAGTCGTCGGAGGAGCTGACTCACCAACTGAACCGATGACAGTTTTTGAGAGTCTAAACAAGCACAAGTTAGAGCAAAGGGATGCAAAGGCTGAGTAGCTGGCACAGATTTACTAAGGGGCATTTGTTTCAGAGTGGACACATTTCTCAGCTCTGAGGGGGTGGATGGGGGATGAGGTCACTGGTCAACAGCATAGAGCAGATTTCAAACAAATATAGAAACGACTGGCTCTCTAAACAGAAACACAATGGTTTTATTGTAACGGTGAATGAACAAGCTTGTCTGCCCACATGGAGATCACTACTTGGTGGTGTTCTGTACAAACTGTCTTCCCTTCATTTATTTAAAACTAGACACTCTGCCTGTAATTCATGCATTTAAATAACATGTTTTTTGGATATCTGCTTTGTGATTTGCCCCACAGAGGGTAAAGCAGTCTCACCTGATGATCTGCATTAATGATTCAAATATTACTCAGTTTTAATAATTTTAATATGACATTCTTTTATTTCTATGAAAAGTTCCACCTCATTTTAGAAAAAAACATTATTTCATTCTATATTTCCTATAGAACATAAATTTTAGCAGTTATAAAAGATAAACATGAATGTTTAAGCGAAAGGTGCGTCATTTCTTCATTTGTTGTCACTGCAGCTTTGATTTGTTTTAAAAAGAAGCTGTCTGTCATAAGATTTGGTGGTTTTATACAACCTGTGCATCACTTTACACCAAACAGGTGATTGTTTCATTTTCTGAAACATAAAAGAGATTTTTTTTTATTATTCTCTAACTGGTTTAGTGTAAGAAAATTAAATTACTCTGCACATATTTACCAGCAGAGGGTTGTCACAGAAAATGAAAAAATAAAACTATAAGTGATCATGGAGTATTTTTATGATGGTTTTATCATATTATCATATCAAATTTTTGCAGTGTTGACATGCAGTATTTTAATCAAAAAAGAAGTTTACACATATTACTGGAAAACCATACAGATCTATTGTTTATCATCAAATTGCAAAAAGATGTTTTCAAAGTGCTGTACAGCCATAACTATATTTATTTAATGAAAATAGTTGCATAGGAGGGAAATGCCCTGTAATAACGTCAGTGCTGAATAGAAGTAAGAAGAGATAAAGATGTATGAGTCCAGAACTGGCGGCTAATTTATTGAGCAACATTTAGACATCTAATCTTTGCTTTTTTTGTCAACTTGGTGCTAAAAATGTTTGGTGAAAAATATAAAATTTAGTTTTTACTGACGGTTGTAATTACAAAAGAAAAAAATCACGTTAAGCTTTAAAGATGAGTTAAATAATTAATGAGTATAAGCAACTTCAGATTGAAGTGATTATCTGCATTAAATAAGATATTAGTGACACCAATGTGGGATTTTCCATCAGTCTTTTGCAGCTGTTCTCGCAACATCCCCATTTAAAACACTCTCAGCAACAATAACTCCCGTAACACACACGGTTTGCTTCAAATGAAAGCTGGACCCATGCTAATCCAGACTTCTTTGCCTTTTCCTGCCCTCGTCTCCCTCCCCTCCCTATGAGCCCTGCACTGGCTTCCTTAGGAGTCCTTTTCAGCCCAATTTGCTTTAATGGTTTAAGAGCTCCTTTTTTGGAATCTGCCTGTCCCGGTTTGAGTGAAGGCAGCTTCAGGACTGAGTTTCGGGTTTCCCTCCAAAGCACTGTAAAAGCTTGTAAAAGTGCTGTGCGTCATGCTAAAGGTGCATTTCTTCTGTGGTTTATGATCCAGCTCATGCGTGCGGTGTGTTATGATGGGGAAGCAATGAATCCTAAGGAAACACGTACGGCACCCTCAGAGCACGATGTGGAGAGCTGTTTATGCTAAAAATCTACATGTTCTCTTTTTTTCCTAAAGTCTAAGCAGCTCACTGCTGATGAGTCACATGGAAAATCCTGCACAAATCTTCAGTCTTAAAACAATTTACAAGTCAAATGTTTAAGTTTCTGTCTTGTGTGTGTCTTTTCAGAGTTGACCCTTGGCCTAAGAGCTACACCGTTCAAGATCTCCTCATCTATGTTCCCTTCTGGATCCTCCATTAAGGTAGGCTTCAAATTTTCTGAAAACTTTATGAAAAGTGCTTAGAAATTCTCAAAAAGTAGATTTATTATGTGTCCCTAATTGTCAACCAACTCTCAATTGTTGTATTCTGCCGCATCTTTCTGTTGAAAATCACCTATAAATGTCCTGGAAGGTCCTCCAGCAGAGGCAGGAGTGTGTAGGGTGAACATGGTGAGTGGGGGGAGAGGAGCTAGAGCAGACAAGAACAGTGTTTATCAAACACAGAGAAGAGCCACCAGTCATATCTGTCCTTGTAGGGTAAGTGAAGAAGACGGGAGGTTGGGGGAGATGGGAGGTGTTCTTGCTTTTCTCTCTGCATAGTTTTATCTGGAAACTGTTTCCCTAAATCACACCTGTCCGTCTCCGTCTTAAAGTTTATCCTACAGCTGCCTCAAAGCACAAGTTGATGCAACTTCTTCGACATGTACTTTTGACTCAGAGGGCAAAGAAGCATCTCTTACGGCTGTTAGGTTTAGCTGAACCGCTCCTCTGTGAGAGTAACAGAAACACTCCAACAAATCTCCTGCCATCCCCCCCCATGTCCTCAGAGGTCAAGGCCGATAGCTAACCCTCCTTCTTTAAGACTCCTCGCTCCCTGATAGGAAGCACGGCTGTGAATTGAGAGTCATGTATTGAGCGGAGTTATGTCCTGTTTACGTTTTTATTTAACGACCTCATTTGGAGCGTGTTCATAATCTGGTTATGGAATCAAAAAGCTGGTTAATTAGGCCTCCACCCAGCAGCCATGTGAAGGAAAGCCTCTGCGTGGCTGCAGAGGATTAATGCTGTAGGATTGAAACTGTCTCCCTGGTTTAGGCACCAGCACTGGTTAGGATACAGATATATTCCTACTCTTTTAGCACACTTACAGCCTTCAGTGTGTTCAGTCCCTAGCAAATGTATTACATCCTGATGCTTTTAATGTCAAATTCCCACTAGCTCTCTGTTAAAGATCAAGTCTCCACAAAGAGATTTACACAAATTATTCCTTAAATTGAACATGTAGCTGAAATTTCTTCAGCACCTGGCTGACACACTGCAAAAAGGATATAAACATTTGTAAAAATGTTTTCAACTAACTGTATTTATTCTTAATTTCAGTAGTTAAATAATATGATCTGCCAATAGAATGATTATTTTACCCTTTAAATAAGATCATTAGATATTATGCACTTGAAATAAGAGATCAGAGTTGTTTTTCTTATTTTAAATGCAAATAGTCTTACTTCACTAGCAAAGTTTCTCACTTACCTGCTCAGTTCAAAAAAGAATGCACTTATTTTAAGAAAAAATGACTTACTTATATTTTAATTTTTTTTTGCAGTGTAACCTTTCTGTTTTGAAACAAAAACTGAAGCACAGATATTGATCCCTTCAGGTGGTATTTTTGAAAAGCAAACAATCATTAGGTCCTCTGAGCTCTTAGTCTTGTCTTTATTTTCAAAGATGTTTAGTTAGATCCCTGTCCGGTGTCTGACTGTGCTGTTCTACCGCATTTATCTCTATCGCTGTCGGTTTGTCCAGCTTAAAAATCGGGCTTTATTTTATTCTTCAATTCAATTCACTTTATTTATATAGCGCCAATTCACAAATCATGTCAAGCCAATTTCATTGGCATACTTCAAAATCAGCCACTTGCATGATTTTTTTCCCTCCAAACATAAAGACCAGGAAAGCAGAGTGCATTATTTGTTGCATTTCTTTCTTTGACTTGCTATGAGTTGTTGGTATCTTGAGGACTCTTCTGTCCCAGGCCTTGGTGTGGTTGGTTTATGATGAAGAAAATGTGTTTTTACTGTTTGGGTTTATGACCACCAACTGTGTTTACTGGACGTCAAGAGATCTGTCTGAAATGGATTTCTTCAATAGGTTTTACTACAATGGATTTATGAAGGTCTTTAGAGAGCTGTTTTTCTCTTACCCACCAGTGAGCTTCTTGTGCAATACCTTGGCAATGAGAAACCTTTTTATAGGCCATTAGGTACGGTTAAAACCAGCTGACTTTAATTAGCTCCCACAGAGTCTGGATTGTTTTCTGAATACTGACAGATTTCACCTCTTTTCCCCTTTTTATACCTTTTTTCCCTGGATGTTGAATGCTACCTAAGTGATCCTATTCTTATACTCTTAATTTATGGACTTTTTAATTTTATTTCATATGAATACTTATATGGGTTAGTGCTGACAAACATAAAAAGATTTATTGATGAAAAATGTCATGTTGCATACTTTGATGTAAATACAGATATCCTGTGAATGCCTCCAAGGTTAATTGTTGAACAGTTTTCCCAATAGACAGTTTACGGATAAAGATTGAAAAGAAGAACTGCCTCAAAGTTCTTGCCTTCCTACTCTAAACACACGTCTGCAGGTAGAATACATTTGTGGCATAGCTTGTGGACTAGCATTATCCATTCGTAGCTTTAACTGTTATTTTACTGGATGAAAAGAAAGATTTTACCGTTAAGCCTCTTTGTGTAGCGCTGCACAGTCAGACCGTCATATAAGCAGCGTCATATAAGCAGCCTACAATGAAATCCCCCAGAGAAAATCCTCAAGCCTACTACTGTAAGTCTTTGCCTCCTTTCATCACTTGGATAAGCTGCTATATCAGCTTCGTGTGCCTGGATTTGCTCAAGTTTTAGCATACAAAGGCTTAGGCTGACTTGGCTAATGAGATTGTAAAAACAGCAGCCGACACCGATGGTTAACATCAACATGGAGGATTTAGAGGGTGGGGAAGATACTTCTAGACTCCTCCTGTTTTCTGACCTTTTCTGGTCAAAGTTCATGACTGTTAGAGAGATGACGGTCTGTTTTTGGTAAAAATGATCATTCTGGTTAGAAAGTAGAGCTGATATGAAGGCCGGAGAACAACATGAGTTCCTGTTTACTGGTGTTTATTGACCATCATGGTTCCTGTTGGAAGCCCTGATCCATTTGGGTGGTCCAGACCTCTCCTTGGTGGTCTAATCTCAAAGCTCACCTCCTGTATTTACTTTAATTATTTTAATTCCAATAAAATGTGTTGAGGCTGATTGGCTGATAGGCTTTTTTTTTTTTCACTGACCAAAGTTAAATTAAAGGTTGGATACAGAACAGTTTCAGCTGGTTGATGGTCTCGATATTACTGCCAAGCTTTGGGTCTCTCTGGCTCAGACAGGCACCATCATTTACAAACAGCACCCTGGTGACGGATTCTCTCACTTTACCCCCGAAGGACAATGACATGATTGTTTGCATGCTAGTGATGTGCCACACATGCTTATTGATTATGGCGCTGACTCACATGTCTCACGTAGAGAATGCATTGTCTGTGTAATCTTTTTGGCTGCGGTCCCTGCATTGTTTTACTGTATTTTAGCTTAGGATGTTTTCATCCATTTAATTGAGACATTCTCTAAATGCCAACAGTGACCAAAGATTGTTCAGGCTAACTGATAATTGGAAACTTGGCTTTCATGTCTTCATGTTCCTCCTCCATGTTTTCATTGAATAACTTTCTTTGATATGAACTACCTTTGGTTTTCTATTCCTGTCTTAGATGAGTCGCCCTCCCTGGGCATGATCTAATTTTCACCATTGCTAGTTGTCCCCACTGAGCATTGAGTTAACTGAGTTATGGGTTTAAGTAGGAAAGCAACCACAATGTCCTTAGTAGCTCTGGGAAAACTGGAGACCTTCTGCTCAGCTGGGAAACTATACATCCTGCACTATAGAAGAAGAAAGACAAAGGCTTATAGCAACTAGACAAGTAAAGGACACAAACAAGTGGAAAACGGTTCCATCCATCCATTTTCTTTACATGCTTAATCCCAGGTGGGGTTGCTGGTGCCTATCTCCAGCTGTCTACGGGCGAGAGGCAGGGTACACCCTGCCCATCGCAGGGAAACACAGAGACAACCATTCACGCACACACTCACACCTAAGGACAATTTAGAGAAATACCAGTCATGTTTTTGAACTGTAGGAGAAAGCCGGAGTACCTGGAGAAAACCCACGCATGCTCAGGGAGAACATGCAAACTCCATGTAGAAAGACCCCGGACCGGGAATCAGACCCAGAACCTTCTTGCTGCAAGGCAGCAGTGCTACCCACTGCGCCACTGAGCTGCGGAAAACGGTTCCCTTGGACCAAAATAGTTCTTGACCTACATGTTAAATGATTTAGAACCAGGACCGTGAAGACACCATCCCTGCTGTGGTGATGGTAGCATTATGGAGATGCCTTCCCTTATGAGTCAGTGGAAAAATGGATGGAGCTACATTTAGGTTACTCCTGAAGGAAGATAATTGAGAACCTGCAGAAGACTAGAAACTGTGGTTCATTATTTTAGCACGACAACAGCTGTATTGTAAATGTGCTGTGCGTCATGCTGAGGTGCAACTGTAGATTACAATACATTTGTTTGGTAGATTGTCCCAGTCAAAGTCTATAATAAACCCCAGCTCAGAAACCTATGTTAGACTTTAAAACTAAACTTCACAGCTCCTCTCCCTCCAGTCTGACTGAGCTTGCGCCTTTGCAGAAAGAAAATTGACAAAATGTAGTTCTGGATGTACAAAGCAGGCAATGACTCACCCTTAGAGACATGCACCTTTACTAGCTGTATTTCTCAAATAATTGGTTTGGGAGGGTTTGTTCAGACATTTGTTTGGGGTATGTGTTGATGTTGTTGGTCAAACAGAAGAAATCTTAAGATGTTGTAGTTGGAACTTTTTTTGAAATGCTTTTGCCATTACCTTCTTGATTTAAGGTTCACCCTTGATGCCCTGTAGGTTTAAACTAGATAAAGTGCCTAATAAAATGTTTGCTCCTATGATGTTTGAAAAGTGCATCAGAGTAGGAGAACTTTTTGCGTCTTTCCTACCATAAAGATTCCTTGAATGCAAGCAGTTTAACGTGGCAGTGTATCTGCAGAGTGCATTTAATAGGAACGCCTGGACATCAAACAAGATGACACACACAGAGGTCTGTCAGCACTCTCAATTTAACAGCACTTAAAGTTTCCATGTGAGCAGCAGCTGGAGTTTTTCTTAATTACTAAGGACTCTAACCCAAAACTGTAGAAGAGCTCTGCTATTATTTGTGGAGCTCTGCCTTCAGTCATTATTGGACAGCAGAAGCGAGCTGATTAGTCTCGACCTCCCTCATGTTTTGTTAGAAAGCAGTTTGAGGAGGAATGACACGCAGCCCTGGCTTGGAGCAAAATCCAAACCGCTGTTTGCCTTCCAGTCGAGGTGTGAAGGACGTGCCCAAAATAAAAAGAAGTGTTTATGTAAGAGGGGTGAGTGTTTCAAATTGTTTTTCCCTTTCTCCTCCCCCCAGGATTGACTGGCTTTAATAACAGCAGGGTAGGGGATAAATATATCGTTGCATCTAAGAAATAAGTGGGTGGGGGCTGCCTGGGAAATTAGACCCTGGATTGGCTTTTCTCTGATTGGCTGAAAAGAGCGTCAGCTTGGCGAGCATATAAAGCACAGCCAGGGTTGGAGAGGAGGGCAAGAAGAACGTTTAGAAGCTATTTTATAGTTTATGCATATTCTCTGACTATGCCTGGGGTGAACCGGGATTTCCTCCCAGCTTCACAGCCTCCAGAGACTTTGGGCTGTACTGAATCTGGCGTGGAGGAGGTGATCGGTGATCTCCTTGCCCAAGAGGAAGCCAAGGCTGACGATGTTCCTGGGGAATTAAACGAGAAGAAGCTTGAGATAATGCTGCGGTGTGCTGTGAAGGAGATTCACAGTGACCTTCAGAGTTTTGGGAATAAAGCGGATGTCCGTTTGGAGGAGGCAGCAGCTAAAGTGGCTTGTTTGTTTGAAGCCATCTCCAGGCTGCAGGAGGAAAACCTCAGGCTGAGAACTGAGCAGGAGCAGATGATGAAGAAAGTGGAGGCCCTCTATCAAGTGATTGGACTGTCTGATCAAATGGCACACAAACTCTGCTCGGCCCCACATGAGCCCAAAGCTTCATCTGATGATGCTCCTTCATGCACAGTCGAAGAGGCCACAGTTGAAGCTTCACCTGATAATTCATCCTCCATTTCCAGAGATTCTCCATCAGGTAGCTTATCACTGCCAGACCAAACTGTGCCCCAGGGCCTTTCCTCAGACCCACAGGACTCTCTCACTGAATCTACTGAGCCTCAGAATACAGAACTCTCAGCGACATCTGCAACCCGCCGTTCGCTCTCTGCGCCATCTCTGACGACGACCATTTCTCCTGACACCTACACGGTAGTGCTATTTGTAAATCCTTCTGATCATGACCCCTTTTCAGTCAGTAAAGCCCTGTGAACAATGGGTATGCCTTTTCTATGCAATCATGGGTCAGCTGGCCATGTCTCCTCAATGGCATCCCAGTGATGCTGCCTTTTGTTCTGTCATGTACTTGCTGACCTACAGTCCCTTATCTTTGCCCATGTGGTCATTTAATCCATCATCATCTCCTCAATTCAACAGAAAAAAGGTTAGATCATATCAGCTGTCAGCTGGTTTTGGCAGATATATCCTTCATATGGAATTTCTTTCCACTTCTGTAAACAGCTTGTTGTGTCAAAACTGTACATTTTACATAGTGGTGCACCAATCAAAAGTAGTTTTTGTTTTTTAGTAAAGATTTGACCTGCTTAAAAAAAAAAAAGTTATTGGAAAAGCAGTCCCAATTTTCTTTTTAATCCCTTTCTCTTGAATTATTTTATAGGCTAAACAAGGATACAGAGTTAGGGATTTCATTTTGGGGCAAATTCTGGATATATTTGGATAAAAGTGCAGCTCTCCTGTTATCTGCTTATTCGTTCTTCCTCTATCATAGCCTGGAAAACCTGAGTGCATCTCGACATATCAAATGCAAGAAGCCACTTAAAAAGGAGTGCAATTATCTACATTAAAGATTGACGGATACAGGCTTATTATGCTGATCATTTCGACAATTCACGATATCTGGTGATTGTTGTTTTTTTTTGTGTGTTTTATTTTCTATTTTTCAGGCTAATATTGCATTTTCTCCACATTATAAAAATTATAAATAATACCTGTTACACATGTCTCAATATAAACAAAAAATACACAAACAAAACCAACAATTGAGAGGAAATGGAGGGAATAGCAATGTAAGCACTTCATGTGATCTTGATACTTGGTTCACGAATGCATTAATAATTTGGCAAACACATGCATCTATCAGCCAATGTTGATACTTGAAACGCTTATTTTAACCCAAAAACTTTTTTTTATCTGCCTCTAACCTAAGTGCTTCCTCTAACCTTCATTAGGACCTGGTAGTTCTTGGTAACGTTGGCTCTACTGATTAGAAAAATAACAGATTTTAGATTTTTCTAATCTAGTGGTTCTTGATGAAGCTAATGTAGAAAGGATCCAACAGATGTTACATTGAGCTAATATTACAGAGAAAACTGCAAAGGAAAAAAATTAGCATAGCAAATGAAATGCACCTGTTTTGTGCATTTAGTCTGAACCCACTTGGCTTTATTTGTCCGGCCTTAAGAAATGAAGTCTCACAGTGCCTCATCTGCTGCCTTTAACCATTTAGATCAAATTTCAAAGCTTCTGCTCTTAAAGAAATACCCCAAAATTTGTGACATTTTTCACAATGTTGAAAATTAACTTGATTTTCTTAGCTTTTAAAAATCAAACATCCATGACTTTTTAAGATCACTTCTGACAGCTCTTTTTTTTTTTTTAGCATTGACCATGTGTAGACTGTATTACAAATCAGACTTTGAGAATTGAGTTCAATTCACGCAGATACCACCAAATCGCAACCGATGTGATTTTAATCACAAACTGCTCTGTTTCATAACTAGTTATATCTAATTACATGAGTCTAAAATCTTTCCAGTATGTTTTAGTTATTCACGTTCCTCTAAAATATACTACAGAAGGTTCAGGATCGTAAAATACCTGTTGGTGATAATAAACCCCATAGTGTTGCTTCGCAGCAAGAAGGTAGCCTGGCAACTTCTCCTAACAGAAATGCCAGTTCTCTCCTTAGTGCTCCTGCTTCCTCCCACAGTCCCAAAATGTGCTATTTTAACGTGATCATGCAGACATACGGGGACACCTTAGGATGTTGGTCCTCTGTGCAGCTGTGATAAGCTGCCAATCAGGGTAAAGACCAGCTGTTGCCCAACATCCGCCTGCCACCTTGAAGCATTTTGAAGAAATTGGATGTGAATGGATGAATGGTTAAAAAGTCGGTGATCAAGAGCAGAGCATAGTAGTTGATTTGACTGCAGTCCCTCATTCTTAGCAGGTATTTGGTAATAGTGGAAGGAATAACTTTCTACCGCCATTGCGTCCATCTGTTGAGGCCAAGTGGGAACATAGAGCAGAAAGAGATGCAGAAATACTGACTTCCAGCAGTAGCTCCCTTAGTAGCTTTGCACAGGAGTGAAATAAGTTAATAAGGACGGTTGCTGCAGAAAAAAAAGTTATATATATTTGTTAGATTTTGTTCCAGATTGACTTTAATATTTGGGTTGGAAACTCTGCCTCAAAAATCCTTTGTTTGGGCAGTTCTGGCGGTTGGAAGCTTGGAGCCCATGTTTGGCCGGGTCGAGTCTCAAAACATTCTTCATCGGTCAAGAGCCTCTCAGTGCAGCCTGTCCCAGGGGTTCAAAACTCTGTTTCCACAAAAGTCACACAAACAAGCGGCCACCCAGGATCGTTCTGTAGCTATGGTGGGTATTATCACTCCCTGGTGGGATGTGGTGCCATCCAGACCTTAGGAAAGGCTGTGGTTAGGAAGGCAGAGCGGTTTCTGATCCTGGACTTTGTTATTCTTACAAAGCATTGAAGATAGAGTTCTATAGTGGCTATTTAGCACTGTGTGTAGATTAAAGTGGTACTTTTAAAAAGATTTATGGCACTTTAGAATATGACAGGTACATGGTCAGGTTTATGTAATGATATCTAATGTTTGTTCCCTTTCGCTCTGTTTCTCCTGTGGTGTACATAGCAAAAAGCTTTCCATTTAAATTCCACCCACTAATGCACCATGCCCATCCCAACAGCGATAGTGGCACGTAAACTGTGGACTGGCAGGAGCCTGGTTATTATGGAGACACTCACTCACCCTCTGATCTTAGCAAGCAGTAACTTGGCAGGCTTTCTCTCCCGCTCATGTGCTCCGTGTCAGGATCTCTTTGGAAGGGCAGTAGAGGAGAGATGGTAAAAGGCCTTTTTTTGTGGAAAAAAAAATCTATTCAGTAGTAAATGTCTAGAAATGCTTTAAATCGATTTTCTCAAAATCATTCTGGCTGTTTAAAAGCTCATCAGTCCTGAGTTACAACTGTAATAGTCTGATAAGACATCAGAATGCATTCTCCCTCTCCTTGCATAAAGCTATTGATTATATGGTGTCTCTTAACTGTTTTACCTAAATTTTATTTTTAGTTCAAAAGTAGACTATTAAAATATTTCCTTCAGTGACCAAGTTAGAACCTCTGGGTGGTTCCACCTTCAGCCCCTACACCTGAAATGACTACATATGTATTTCTCTCTGTGTTACAGATGGAGACTGAACCTGTTGTTGGCTCGGAGTCATTATTTTCAGCTCCTCAATCCAAGCTTGTGACATGTTCCGTCCCCACCATCCCCAACGGCTTCAGCACCCAGACCAAAGCCATTGAAAGCTCTGGAAAACTCACTGCTGAAAAGCTTGCTGCCATTGAGGATGAGGAGCTCCTGGACAAGATGGTACATCAGAAATTTAAAAGTTCATATTTGGAAGGTTTTTTTTAGGTATAGTGAACTGACTTGGCATCTTGTCTGCCATTTGTTTATCTTTGTTTGTCAAAGCTGGATGAGTCCAAAGATTTCGAGGAGAGGAAGATGATCCGTGCCGCCATGAGAGACCTTCGCAAGAGAAAGAGAGGTAGCGTTTAAATAATCAAATCAGGGGTTGCTTTTTTTATTTTATAATTTTTTTTATGTGCAGCATTTCTATATTCCAAAGATGTGAAAAAGTGGATTTTTCTGCCCCCAGAGGCCATGCTGGGATGTAGCCAGGAGGAAATGGGTAGGACTGGGTGTGCAGTGTGCATTGATCAATAATTTCTGCCTGGGTTTGCCTTTTTGTTTTTATCAGCCACTATGTTTTCTGGATGTTGTGGTTTATGAAATGCATGAAAGATAAACTCTCTACTTACACATTGTGGGTTTTAGCGAGCACTTGCCTTTTTGGCTTTACAAGGTTGCATCCAGTTTGTGCTGAAATCGCCATTGTGTGGGAAATCTGTAGATGACAGTTTCACTCGTAAACCTCGATTTGTTCACGTCTTTTATTTCTCACATTCTATCCAGCTAAAATAGGGTCTCTAAATTAACTGCTTTTACTAATGACCTTGATAAAATGCAGTTTAGCCAAGTAACCTGCTGAGGGAAGGCCTCTGAAGTTTGCTAGATCAATTAAGTCATGATGGCCAAGGAACACAGAAGACAGGTCAGAGAGTAAAAAGATTAGATATTTAAAAAACTGTTTAACGATTTAAAATGTAAATGTATAACATCCCAAGCAGCAGAGAGGCTAAGGTAACTCAAACTTTGTTGAGGTTATAAAATCTGTCTACATCTGTTCATTGGTGGGAGAAACTCAGATAAAGTTTGATTTTAAAATTGGCCATAATCCCTGGAGGAGACTGAACCTATGTGGAAGAAGGAGCTTTCCAATCTGATGAGACCAGATTAGATATATATTTTTAGCCCCCATATAAACAATGTGTGGTGGAAATCTACTACTTTGAGTTCCATATCTGTTTGTAAAGCATGGGGGTGGCAGTTTTATATTTTTGGATGCCTTCTTCAGCATGTGGAGGGAATATGAATGGGGCTTAATGCAGGTCAATACTGGAAAGGGGGAGTGTTGGCCTAGTGGTTAGAGTAGTGCTCTGAGAAGGTCGCACTCTGCTCCCCCAGGCGCCGCCCAATGGTTCCCACAGCTCCCCAAGGGGATGGGTCAAAATGCAGAGAGTAAAAGGCTGTAGGCTGCATAGAAATCAAATATTTTTTAGATTCAGTGAAAATAATTAAAAAAAAATTCATTTCTTTAAAGGCTTTCTGTTAGTCAGTCACAAAATTTGCAATTTCTTTATCATTAAAGTGGATTTTAAAATGAATAATCTAATAAAGTTGGAAATAACCACCTCAGGATGAATTCATGACAGTCTCTCTGGTATGAGCTCACAGCACCAGGGATGGTGTCTGTACTTTGGATGACGCTAAATTTGGAGAAGTCCTGTCTCTCTTTGCTCTGGGATGTTTTTGTTGTGCCGGACATGTTATTTGACAGCTGTTGAACCTCTCATCTGCAGAGGTTTGTGTGTTCAGGGACATTTTTTTTAAACCACTGTGGAAAGAATTGTGAAATATAAAGCTGTCAGATCAGGAAGCCCTGTTTTCATCCATCTCTGCAACAGTCAGATCAGGTCCTGACAGCTTGTTATGACTTTTTGTTCTCCTTCTCCCTCCATCCATTTTTTTTCCACTGACATCATTTCTCCCTCACCAGACCAAAGAGAGAAGGAGCGTGACACTCGTCTGCAGGAGCTGCGACAACAGAGAGAGGAGAGGGCGCAGAAAGGCCGCGCCGGACCCGGAGCTGGAGAGGTGGTGATAAGGAAGATGGAGAAGTCGGCTGACGGTTCGACCCTCAGCCAAGTGACAAAGACAAATCGTTTCGCCCACTCTGGTAGTTTTGTCTCTTATTTCCTTTTAGTCATTGCTTAGTCCTTTTTTTTTTTCTTAGGTTTTATTTAATGAAAAGATGAAAATTAAGATTTTTTTATTGTTTTTTTTTGTTGTTTTTTTTTTTTGTTTTCAGATGATGGGAGCAAATCAACACGCAGCACAGTTGTAGAAACCAGTTATGTACAGAAGACAGACAGTAAGATAATATTTTTATTGAACATTATGTTATTTTGGGCCATTTCTTTTTATTCATTTCTTTTGTTTTGTGCCTTTAGGAGGAACAGTCCAATCCAAATCCTACAGCTTCACCTCCTCATCCTCCTCCAACACAAGCAAAAAAGTTGGCAGGTGGGCCATTAGCTGCAATGCATAAATAATGCAGTGTTTCAACTTGTTACTTTCAAACATGAACGGGATGAAATTCTCTGCTTCAGCGTGTTTGATCGTGAAGATGAGACAACGTCTAAAACTGGTGGCAGCGGCGGTTTGTCCGCTGTCGAGCGACGGCAGGCGGAGAAGCGCAGAGAGCTGATGAGAGCCCAGACGATGCCTAAGACATCCGCCATGCAGACTCGGAAAGCCATGATAGAGAAGCTGGAAAAAGAAGGAGGAGGGTGAGGAGAAACAGCAGGGAAAAAATGACAGTGATGCAGGTCAGAGCATGAGCATGTGTGTTCATACTAAACCAAGTCTGGGTTGTTTTGCTTTTGTTTGTTTTTCAGCCCTGGAAATCAGGCAGTAGCCAAGGTAAACAAGGTGCAGCGCTCCACTAGCTTTGGTGTTCCCAACGCAAACTCCATCAAGCAGATGCTGCTTGACTGGTGTCGTGCGAAGACACGCTCGTATGAGGTGAGCAGGGCGTCACCTACAGAGCTGGGTCTGAGATAACATTCTTCTCTGTATTGTAAAGGTTGATTCATCTAACCCTTCCTTATCTGTTTGTCTTCTCCATCAGAACGTGGACATTCAGAACTTTTCTTCCAGCTGGAGCAATGGTATGGCGTTTTGTGCCCTGGTGCACAATTTCTTCCCTGACGCCTTCGACTATGACTCTCTGAGCCCCAGCAACCGGAGGCAAAACTTTGAGGTGGCCTTCAGTGCTGCAGAGTGAGTACTCACCACATTCTTCTCACTATTAGATTTAGAATCCTAAGAAAAGAGAAAACAGCACTAAAATACATTGCAATGAAAAATATAAATGCTCCTTTTCAAAGTTTCTTTGTCTTTGCTCTTATCATGCCTTAATAAAATGCCTAAAAACCTTTTCAAACTAACCTTACCATATGTCAATACGTTATGGTTCCCTACACTTGGCTTCAACCGCTCTCATCAGCCATTTATGAGAGCTTACTTTTTTATTTTACACTAAGGAGGAATTTTGTCCCACTCTTTTTTTTTTAAATAGTTTTCAAACAGGTGTTTGAGGATAAGCGACTTGTTTAAGGTCATTTCCCAGCATCTCAGAAAGAGTTAAGTCTTTGATTAATACACTCTAAAAAGATCGTTTTTTAGCTATTCAGAGGTGGACTTGATTTGAGTCATTTCCTGGCCAGTAAGTGGGGCACTTGCGTTACCCCACTCTCGTTCTGTTACGTTTAAAATGACCTTTACGGGTCACAATGTCATGTCCGGCCATTCGGTGAGAACAATTGTGGTTCAGTTTTGACAAGTTTTCAATGTCCTGAAAAAGCGAGGTAACCCCAAACCATTACACTACCGCCACCATACCTGCCTCTCAGAAGGATTCTTGTTTCTGAATATTATCTGCTTTACTTTATTATCTGATTTAACAAGACACATTCCGTCCACAAAGCCGCACTTGTTTTCTAAAGTTAGACAGGAATTGGTTTTCTTTTCGGTCATTTTCAGTGCTGACTGGATAAGTTCAGAATAAATTATAAGGAGAACACAGGCTTCTATTTCTTTTAAAAATAATTTTAAATATTTAAGATTAACGAAGAAAGTAGTGATAAACTTTATAAAGGAAATGATCCCAGAGCCTTTGATGAAACATTTCATAAACAGTGTTCAGCACATCTAATCCCTGTAAGTGGGTATTTCTTAAAGTTATATCTTCAGATTTAAGCATTTCCCATATAAAATGGGAAATAAAAGTTTTCTTCTAGTTTAAAAAATCAATTACACTAGATTGACAGGAACCGTTTAGCCTCAGCTTTATTTATAATCTCTAGATCTGTTTTCTTGAAGAAGAGTTAATGACCAATGAAATGTCTGCTTTGTCTTTGTTTTCTGTCTCTAATACAATATAAAAACCTGTTTTTTTTAATTTTACAATGAGGGATACTGCTAATGGATTTGATGCAGAGTGACTGATACCTAATCCTAAAGGCTATAAAATACTACATCAGCAGCTGTTAACATCAAATTTGGTTACTCTGATTTTGAAAGTATTCAAATAGATCAAGTTGTTGCTTAAGAACCCAGTTCAGGTCCACCCACAGACCTCAGATCTAATTCCTACTCTTTGTTGCTCCCCATCATCTACTCGAGTCTAAAGATGTTAACCGTTTCTCCCAGGTATATAAAGCGTCTATCGAGGCTGAGTAAACTTCTTATTTCTGCATTAACTCTGCCTCTAACCACCCCCCCCGATGTGAACAACTGCGCTGACTCTGGTTTGGAAAACATCCTCCTCCCATCTGGGCCTTGTCCGTTATCTATCCCTCATCTCTCTCTTATCTCTTTTTGCATCTCACCACTTTTGTTGACGCACCCATCTGTTGTGTGTGTGTGTATGCTGTCACATGTAGCAGTTAGAATAAAGTCTCAGCCTCAATGGCTCAGCTTTTACTCTTTGTGTTGCATCCTCACTCGTGTCTCCAGTCACAGAAGATCCGCACAACAAACTCTGACACGACCCTCATTCTGTGCACGAGTGTGTTTAGAGTCACCCCATAGCTCTTTTTATCCTATTGTATTTTTCACTGTTACAAAGTTGTTTTTTTCCTGTTTTATTGTATTATTAAAGTCTAAAATAGGCATGGGTCGCTATTAGGTTCTCACAGATTGAGAACTGTGGCTAAAAATACAATCCATTATTTATACAACAGTTTGAAACAAAAACTTATAATTAAATTGAATTATTTCCTTTTTTTAATCAGATTTTATTTAAAGATTATATTGAGCTATTTTTCAAGGGTTATTACCAAAGTTAGAATAATCCGGTATTTGTTTGTCAAATCTTAAAACTAAGGCAAAAAAAGTAGTTTTTGTGCTTTTTATAATATCTTTTTTGCCATTCTGCTCTGCTTAGAGAAGACTCTTGGTGATATCAGCGGGCTAGCTGGGCTTTGCTGCCCTTAGCATGCTCACTGTCCTTAGAAAACACCCTAACTTTGATAAAGGCGATGGGTGGCGCTCCTTTAGTTTCCATTTGTTTGATAGTTCAGGATAGTATATTTCCCATCTTCCAGCCAGCTGACTGGCAGTGTGCAGCAGCATGTGAAAGAGGAGTTATCCCAGATTTCACTAGTTTTCAAACATTTGGAGAAATCCATCCAGGATTATATCATAAATGCGTCTTAAAACTTTAACTTTGTTTTTAAACCACTGTATACCTGGAACCTCCGTATACCTCGCTATCCTTTCCGGGCCCATGCCTAACCTGAAGTCAATCACAGAAAAAAACAACACATAAAAATAGACTGAATGGGCATCACCTGATGCTCATTCAACACCTTGTTTTGTCCTGTGTATGTATGCCACATGTTGGATGTACTGCAGAGTTCATGAAGCATGATAACTCATGGATGTATTTTTGAACACTGGATGTAATGTTTATTTTTGTGCTCTTGTTTTTATTTCATTTGTTCTCTCACTCTTGTTTATTGGCTGCTCACGGCTCTGTTTGCTTTTCCTTCCCTCCTCCCTGTTTTCTCTGTCCTGTTCCCTCCCTTTATCTGTCCTTCATCCCCTTTCTGTCCTGTCCTCCTGTTCATTCTCTCCTCTGACAACCCTTCACCTTCGGGTGGGGCCGCAGGAAACTAGTGGACTGCCCCCAGCTGTTGGACGTGGACGACATGGTGAAGATGCGCGAGCCGGATTGGAAGTGTGTGTACACGTACCTGCAGGAGTTCTACAGGGGCCTGGTGACGAAGGGCCTGGTTAAAACCAAAAATTCCTCCTAGAATTGCTCCTCAACTAAAACAAAACCCATGGTGAGATGGAAGGGATGAGCTTCTGACTTTGGATCTAAACTAGTGGTTTGCAATTTATTCGTATCTCTTACAGTTTTCCAGATTTTTTTCAAATTTTTAAAAATAATTTATGGTAACCTGAATTGTAATGATGTATAATTAAGACATTAACCAGCTGCATTCAACCAATGGAATTATAATTAGAATCACAGTATAGAAAAGGTTGTTCTTTGAAGGCATTTGTTGGAGAGAACAAACCATACAGAATCAGTTATAAAAAAAGACTTATTTAAATTTTTTATTTTATAAAAACAGAATTTATTTGCAAATGACCAGTGTTGCAATGAATTTGCGCTGGTCTTCAACAGTCTGTCATATCAGTAAAATGTTGAAATCTTCAAGGGATATAAGCAGTTCCTAATGCAAGGCAATTCAAGGGACGACATCTCTTTAAAAATCAAATATATAAACATTGGAGGTTGCTTTTTTTCATTTGGCCTATAAAGTTGATTTGAAGCTTCTTTGGTTCAAAGCACCAAACATGGTCTATGTGAATGAGTGCATCTTAACAGCGAGTCTTCAGCCCGGCTGCGAGCCAGTCCCATCTGCAGCCCAGCACTTTAAAAGGAGCTGCTGTATCACTGCGTTTTAAACAGTCAAAGTAAAGAAAAAAAGCAGAGAGGAGAACCACTTTGTTGTTCCACTTCTGATCGACTTTAAGATTAGAAGTGTTTATCCTCTCAACTTATAAAAACTTTTAAAGACGCTTTACCTTTAAAACGCGCGGGAACATGTCTGCAAACCTTTAGGAAAACAGGCCTCATGTTGACTTTTCTTCTCTCTTAAGTGGATTTATTGCTCATGTCATTTTTGTGAGATTCTTCACTTTGTACTGTAACATGTCTAAAAGTTTGATGATATTGCCACCTTGTGGTCTCTTTCTACAAATTCTCCTGAGCAAAAGCATTGCTAAAAATTTTTGAGAGCTATTTCACATAATTAGTTCCAAGGTATTTAAAAAAAAAAAAAAAAAAACAATAAACATTTTGTACTTATAAATGGTTTTAATATATATATTTTTTTAATTCCCCATTTTTCTGGGTTTGTTTCTGGACATTTTTAGTAAAACTTTTGAACCATTTTAGTTTTAGTTTCTACTATAAGCCAGGAGTTCATTGGATTTATCTCAGAAGCTAAAACTTGTGTAGACCATTTTAGATCAGTGCTTTTTCAGAGCCTTCAACTTTATACTTATTAAATCCTAACTGGAATGCAGATCCTCTGAAGATCTGGTTCTAATCAGCCTGCTGAAATTTTACTTGTAAACTGGACACAGTGTGTGAAAACTTTATCCAGTTTAAGACCCTGCACTAAGCAGGTTTAAAAGTAAAAACTAAATAAATAAAAAGGGTGGAAGAGTTGTTTAAGTTTTTTTATCTTCATGTTTTTATCTGTGGGTTTTCTGTACTTAACCCAAAAATCTAAAATCAACAAATTTGACAAAGTCATGATGAGACACCAAAAAAAAAAGAAGAAAATATCTAATATATACTATTCTATTTGTATTTTAATATTAGTATTCTTCTTTTGCTTTTTTATTTTTATTTTTTTTTTGTTTTTTGTTTTATCTTAAAACTTAAATATTTGAATAAGAAAAGCAGCCTGGAATCTCCAAAGGGTTTAATGCTTTCAATAAGGAGAGGATTATCAGAAGGTTTTTGCAAAGTTTTATGATTAAAACCTCAAGTTATATGAAAATTACAGCTTTAAATAAGAACAATAAAGAATTTTTTTATAAATTTTGGGTTGTCCTTTTCAAAGTCAACTCAAGTCATATCGGCTATTTTAAAGATGATGACATGAATTCAGTAACATACGAATTTCATCCTAGAAATCAAACAATGCAGTTGTGTTGCTGAAAAAAGAGGCAGTAGCAACAGAGATGCTGCAGCCTTGTGTTATCAGTAATGCAATAGTCATGACAGAATGCGTATGGATGGAAAGCCAGACTGAATATTGCACATTATTGTGTCCTCCTCTCTCTGCAGTTAGACCCATTTTCTCCCATCCATCCTCACCTCTGCCATCTGACCCATGTGTCTCTTTTAGGACCTACGCCAACTGCATGCCTTTGCTAGAAGTGGAGGACATGATGATCATGGGTAACAAACCAGACTCCAAATGCGTCTTCACCTATGTGCAGTCTCTGGTGAACCACCTCCGCAGATACGAGATGTCCATGGGCCGTCCCTGCGACCTCTGACCTGTGGCCTGCGCTCATTCGCCTCTCTGACGGACGCGTCAGAGATTCTGTGTGTGTGTTTGTCTTTTGCTTCTAACGTGTTGGCAACGCTGTGTTGTTTCTTCTTAAACAATCTTTGCTGACATGGGCTCTACCTCTATAGCAGACAGAGAGGACGCGTTCATTTTAAGAAAAAAAATATTTTAAGGTTTTTGATTCTGTGTTTTTTCTGTATTTAAACTTGGTTCAGTGCAGATTTCAGCTGCTGTACTGTCAGTGTTAACATCCTTATATCCCCCTTTAAAACAAAAAAAGTGTTTATAAAGTATCCCCTCTTTTAACTCTTATTTTTTTCTGATGTTCTTGTAGTTCTCTCTGCAGCTTAGTTGGTAAATCCACTGAAACATTTCACAAGTATTTGAAGCTGCATTTCCTTTCTGTTCTGGTACTTTTCCACCTCATTTGGAACCGAATTCCGGTTATTTTAAGTTATTTTTTTTAGCTAAAAAGTGTACTAAGTTTTAAATAATGTGCATATAGGGGTTTGTCCTGATTATTAAAAAGGATTGAACATTGTTAGACCAATCACATGCTTTAAGAAAATAACTTCCTGTGCAGAGCTGCTGATGAAACCATGTCATTATGAAAACTGAACTGGTTCAGGACAACGCTGGCTTAGTTGGAGTCTGATGTCTCCGAGCTGAAAGCACATTTAAAGAAAATCTACCACACTGTTTAACCCCCAGAAGTATGATATGTTCATTTCCAAATTGCAAGACTTCCAATCAGAGATCTTATTTATGCTTTATATATATATTTTATTTTTTTTGCAGGTATTTTAGTTTGAGCTTTAAGCTGTTAAGCAGTTAGTTAAAGTAAGTTAATTGGTTGAAGCTCTTGTCATTTTATTTTCTGTAACAGTTGGCTTGCCCTTTTTATTTTTAGAATGGACAGTAATGCTATAAACAGTAAATCTGATATTAAGCCAAGTAAAGATTAATTTTTTTTTTTTATTTCAATTCTCTTTTGAGAGAGATGATAAAAATATTTTTAATTGTTGGAAATGATTTTCTGAAAGCTTTTTTTTTGGTATATATGAGAATTTATATAGTTCATCTGCTTGCAAAAGAAAAAAAGAACGCAAAGCAGTGAGCATTGAGTGTGTTGGAGTGTATATAAGAGCTTACACATTGTATAATTTGATGTTTCCTGTGCACCACAGTTAAATGTAAATTAACAATTAAACCAATTTGGGAAATATTTACTGTGTACGGATGGTTATTTTGTCACCAATGAAACAGTTTGAACCAGTTTCATTGCTATCATACTAAATATACCTTTGCTTTATGTCTGGAGTAGTTTGGGAAACTGTCCTTTCCTATTGCTTGTCTTATATAAAAACATGTTCATCCATCTATCAGAGCATCTGCTTCCAAACAGTTTTTTTTTTTGTATTTTAACATGTCAAAACAATCCAGATTTTATTTAGATTTTCTGAAGCAGATTGTCACAGTATTATAGCTTTGTGATTCCTTACTCTGGTAAGGAGATGTGCTAAACTTTAGGCCTTCCTGATTCATTCTTTGTAGAACAACCATGTCGACCAGCCTTTCACATGTGGACTGATTTAGTTTTGCCAATCTTTGCAAAATACCTCAGTTTGAAAAGGGATAGCCTTCTTAACATCACTTCCGACATCTTGTCACAGGTTCTCAATTGGATTTAGGTAGAAAAAGAAAAATGGGCCCATCTAGCAAATGAATATGCTTCCATATATACAAGGAATGAACTCCTGCCCCAGTCTCAAGTGTTTAGCTGCCTCTAACAAAGTTTCTGCCAGGATTGTTCAAAATGTATCTCCATACAGCTTTCCATAAACTCTGACCAGCTTCCCTGTCTCTGCAGCAGAGAGTCAGGCATTGATAACGCAAGCCTGCTTCTCCCCAACCTGTCTGCTGTGTTTCTTGTCCTGGTGTTTTTCTCTGTGGTCAAACCTTTAATTTATTCACAAAACAGGTGGATTATTACAAATTTTCTCATTTGTAGATATCCATTATTGTTTTATCTACATATTTTTATTTAAACGTGTATGTCTTATTGGAATATGTTCAGTTCAAACCATTTACACTTCAGTTCTGTAATTTTGGGTGTATATAAATGTAAAATAATCTCACCTAAGTGTGTAGGAACATTTGAGACTTTTTCTTTTATTAATGTTTTAAAATCAACATATTTTCTACTTGAGGTCATTTGTGTTCATCCAGCCCACTGGAACAAGAAGCATCAGCATCAGGCTGGTCGGACGACTTTTCACCTGAGGCTTCATTCGGTTTCACAGCAGGGAGGAGTAAGAACAAAATAACACAATGATATGGAGATTATGTGGATAACATACAGATAAGACCTAAAACACATCCAGTATAAAACTACTTTTCAAGTTGTAACCCAAACTAACAGTGGTATGAAAAGTCCTAACTATAAAGAGTCTGTCTGACTAACATGAGATATTTCCCTTTCACCCAATAAGCTAACTACAGTAAAAACAACAATCAGCTGATGTTGGAGCTGCTGGGAAGCTGTTACTATATTT